CTTGAACTATGAGAAACTTAGATAGCACAGTTTGTGACCTAATTTGATGACCTTGACCTTTGACCTTGAAATTTTTACTTTTGTAGACCTCAGTAGGCCTTTTGTAATTAGACTGACCTAAATTTGAATCCAAAGACTCAATTTGAAAAATCAACTTTTCTGACCTTTCGAAGGTCACTGAAGGTCAACTAAGGATCAAAGGTCAAATCTGAGGTCAGATTTGGACTCCTGGGAACTTGTAGATGGTTTTTAAAAAAAAAATTGGTCAGATTGAAGCAAGTTGAAAAATGACCTTTTTTGACCGTTTTTTGACGTCAAATATCTCAAAAACGGTAAAAAGTTAATGCTGACATATAGTGAACAATTTGTAGAGAATACTTAAATGTAGTTTCAGTTTAATTCATCGCAAGAAATAATGAAGTATAAGGACAAACTTGCGAAACTTGAAAAAAAACTTAGATTTGACCTAGATTATGACCTTTGACCTTGACCTAGATACAAAATATTTTCCCTCCTATTCCAGCCCAGGTTTCTAGTAGGAACATATAATAGGTAGTCGAAAGCTAGTTGGAAGTAAGAGAAAAATGCTTAGGAAGAATAATAAAAATAAAGAATAAAGAAAAGCTACAAAAGCTATAGGAGGCCCTTTCTTGAGGGCCTCCTAATAATAATAATAATAACTAGACTTTGGAAGATTGCAAGCAATCTCACGGAGGCCCTCTTAGGCATTTTTGACAAATGAAAAATATGAAATCCTGAGAAGTTGTAGATGATTTTCAAAAAAGAATTGGGTGAATTTGAAGCAAGTTAAAATTTGACCTTATAAAGTCTGAAAAATTGACCTTTTTCAGTTTTTGAGCTCTTATATCTGAAAACTGGGACAAAATTTTAATAAATAGTCAATTGCTAATATGTGTAGAACCCTTAGAGGAATGTATATCTTGACTTTCAATTAAAAATATTGATTTGTAGTCTTGAACTATGAGAAACTTAGATAGCACAGTTTGTGACCTAATTTGATGACCTTGACCTTTGACCTTGAAATTTATACTTTTTTAGACCTCAGTAGGCTTTTTGTAATTAGACTGACCTAAATTTGAATCCAAAGACTCAATTTGAAAAATAAACTTTTCTGACCTTTCGAAGGTCACTGAAGGTCAACTAAGGGTCAAAGCCTTTTTTGACCGTTTTTTGACGTCAAATATCTCAAAAACTGTAAAAATTTAATGCTGACATATAGTGAACAATTTGTAGAGAATACTTAAATGTAGTTTCAGTTTAATTCATCGCAAGAAATAATGAAGTATAAGGACAAACTTGAGAAACTTGAAAAAAAACTTAGATTTGACCTAGATTTTGACCTTTGACCTTGACCTAGATATGAAATATTTTCCCATCAAGATGAAACCAGGTATCTAGTAGGAGCATATAGTAGAAAGTTGAAAGCTAGTAGGAAGTAGAAGAAAAATGCTTTGAAAGAATAATAATAAGAAGAATAATAAATAAATAAAGAAAAGCTACAAAAGCTATAGGAGGCCCTTTCAGGAGGGCCTCCTAATAATATCTATAAAATTAATAGGAGGCCCCCTGTCGGGGCCTCCTAATAAGAACATATCACAAGTATAGCAAGCTGTTAAATCATTTTTATGAAATAGAGAGGCACACACCTGATTATAAAAAACCAAGGTCTACCAAGTAATTCCTGGCCTTTGATAATCACCTTGATTGATTCAGCGCATACTTTTTAAAACATTTTATCAACAGTTTGTTTTGTTTAGTTTGTACATAGACTAATGTGTCATGTTTTGATACAATTGTCAATAAAAGAAATATATATCAACAAAAATTGACAAGCTGATCACATTACAGTGTTCAAGAAATGTACAGTGCTGATAATAATATAGGGTGCGTTTTCTAACTAAACAGAGTGTTCCTACTAAAATGAATTTGCCTACATACCCCTGAAACTCTTATCTGATAGATAGAATGCACAAATAAAACAAAAGTTTTGCTATTATAGGTAAAAAGTTCTCTTGAAATTTCGAAGTGATTTTACCTGTTAATTCTGTCCATGGTCCGCCATTTTTGCGGAAGTTACACTGAAACGCAAACTCCATGAAACGAAACGAAATCACTAGAAAAAAACATGGCACACATTGTGCGCATGTGCAGCAAAGTTTAGACCAATTAGATAATTTGATTATTTTGCGCACGTGAATTATTTGCTTCTGAGCACTTACAAGCTTACCACAATAAACAAACCTGGCAGAGACTACCCTTAGCCTACTTCATTTTGGCGAAATTTCAGCTCAAACTCGTGACAAATGCATTATGCATACGCTGGTGTGAAGCCTTGGAGACACTCATTTTGGTAAATATGATTTATGGGGTATACTTTTCTGCAGTTTGTGGGAGTTTGGGACATTAAATGTTAAAATTCAAGAAAATATTCCAATTAAACGACTGATCAATTAATATATACCAGCACTGTAATTCAATATTTTCTTGATAATAGGTCACAATGACTTGTTCATGCATTTTTGTCAATTTATTTAATTTAATTATCAATTTATTATCAAATATTATCACAAACTTTATCAAATCATCCACACGGGGGATAAGCAAAACGAAGGCGAAGCCACGGACTGCGACTCGCGTAACTTTACACCGCAGCCCAGCGCCAAAATGGAGGGACATCCGGCAGTGCCTTCTGCTTCTTCCGACAAAATAGAGAAATCCAAGTATTTTAAATGCTATCGTAGTGTCTAATCGGTGACCAAAATATTACTCTGTATCTACTGTTGGTCTGTAGATAAGAAAATAAGCAGTTGTCCAGATCAAGCTAAAACAGTAGCAAAGTTCTGATTTTACCTGTAAAATATGTGCATATTATTTAATTTACTATACATTTGAAAGGAGTTTTAACACGTTTCTGATATCTAAAGGTTAGTTGAGGCTCCGAGTATAATTCGTGAAAATGATTTGATAATAGAATGTGTTCATGAGGAGAAAATTAGATTCAAACTGCGCATTCATAGTGGTCGCAGTCCAGTAAACAAAGCTATTTCAACAACGCAACACATCCTCCATTGATATTCTAAGCAACGCAGTCCAGCCGCGAACACGAAATAAATAAGATAGTGTAAACTATATTCCTACGCTATTATTGTTTCAGGAAAAGAAAGTCAGCATCCAGATTATCATTCAAAGTTACGTTGATTAACATATGGATAGGGTTAAATATATAGATAATTGGATAGTGGTGAGACTTTTTATAAGAAGTAGAAATGCGAAACAATTAACTTTTTGATGATGCAATAAAAGCTGTTGGGGAATGTAGTATTTAAGATATCAGGAAAATATCAAATAATTGGAGAGTTGGTGAGTTAATGTAATTCTGGATGATCTTTCCAACAGTCCATCAATATTGCTAGCTACCATAAATTCATGATTTCAGCTGTATTTGACAGCTTGTATATATTTGCAGAATGGATTGAGACACGATGTAGGTCTATTAAAATAGCCCTTTATATTCAATTTTGTCCAAAGTTGCTCCATTTTGGCCACACCTGTACACACATTGTGCTATCTACCTTTGGCTGTGATTGCGTTCAGCTTCAGATATTAAGCAACACTGAGCCGCGGACTGCGTTGGGCAGATGGATGGACTGCGACTATTATAAATTCCAATTTTCTATGTAATTGTACGCTTTCCGCTTACCAAATATCACACGAAGATGTAATTGTAACAACAGAACATGAATAATTATATTAATTCGATGTCATTTATGATTCCTTTGTTTAAATCGGTATATTAGGGACAAATATTGACAAAATTACATTTTATGTGGCAGATTTCGAATTCATTTGTGTTCATGCTAAACTATTGGACAGCCGAGCACCAAGAATGCCATTGCAGGTGGAGTATGAATATGTTGATCACCGACTGGAACATACTAGCTATTCTGTAGAATATCCAAACCAATAATCTACCCCAAATCCTAACATGCCTTCCAAATTAAGTTTGGACTTACCGCCATTGTTCAGCTATAATGCGTTGTAACCTCGTTTTGAATTACGCGAGTCGCAGTCCGTGGCTTCGCCCTCGTTTTGCTTATCCCCCGTGATCCAACCTTTGGACAGAAAAGCAAAAACATCATTTCAAGCTGAAGTAATGCATTTACAGAGGTTTGATTGACAGGTCTATTTTTACACATTCCATATTTGGAATGAAATGTATTGCATGTGTTACAAATTGAAGGTCAAGCTGATCTGGTCACTCTCTAAGACAATTTAAAAATGAAAATTGTTTAAAAATGATCAAATCTTTTACTGATTTTCTTTGCTCAGACAAGAGTTTTGGAAAATTGACCTTTCAAACCATTTTTAGAGATTCAATATCAGATCATTTGAGAACTTTTGTCTTTAATTGAGTTCAGTAATAAGGTGATTTTTGATGAATTTTGTAAGACTATTTTGTCAAAGAATTCTGATATATGACACTTGAATCATGTGTATCAGATTTGGCAGTTTCATAATATTCTACAATTTTAGTGATGGTTAATAACCATTGATATTTAAATATTGTAAGAGTATATCAGGTTCATCACAAAATGAAGATCAACATAGATTTCCTACTTCAAGCATTTGCACATTTGATATAGGAAGTTACCATGACAACAAACCCATTCTATATTGCCTTTGAAAAGAGATAAGTCAGAATGACTTTGCAACTACATGTATCTGAAATATAGGGTACATGTTCTTGTAATTGCAAACATATCTGAAATAAAAAGTTCCATATAAATCTCTTACACAGTTAGGCGTTTACCGTTCGTTTTTTACCATTCTAATATTTATTTTCTGTAAATGCGCCATTTTACATTTCTTTAGCACATTTTTAAAGTTGTTATGTTGTTATATTTTCTGATTTGATGTGAGTTTTGGGTATTTTCAAAGTTCCAAAGATCCATTGTATAATTTTGTGTGATATTTTACAGGACATTAGCCTCAGCTTGGAGTGCTGTTGCCGTAGAGATGCAAGAAGAAGCAGAACTTCACAAGTAAGATGTTTATTATGAGATAAATTCTGAAACAAAAAGTGTTCATTTTGAGGTATAAGGAGTATACCGAATAAAAGTAAAAGATTCGCATTATCATTATCAAGAATACTGTTAATCTATGTTTAGTTAAAACTTTGATTATCAGGAATCTGGGACAGATGTTGAGTGAAGAGGTGTACAAACCATTGAAAGTTCTGGCAGAGAACCAACATAAAGCAAGAAAACCTGTAAGTACAAAACGATGTGCTAAATGTAATGTGTGGTAAAAACTGGTATCAAAACTGGTACTAGAGAAAAAACTCATCACATGAAAAACATGCCATGCAATATATAAACTCAATAATGCGACTAAAAACATGTGCCTCTTTTGTAAATAGTGAGTACAAATAAAAGAATAATATCAAAATAAAAATAAAACAATCTTTGGTTCAATAGAAAACCTTCCAGAAATAATTCTGCTTCTTGAGTGAGTCTTGTGCACAAATTCATCAAGATTACATATATTTCGTAAATATTGTAAATGAAGGATTCCCCCAATAAGCAGAGGTATATTTGTATTGTGTGTAAGACTGAGAAGAATTTGTTTGATATTACAGGTAGAGTCAATGGTAAACAAAGCACTGCAATCTCTCACTGATAGAAGATCTGAAGAACAGAAGGTAAAGGAATAAATACATACTTACTTACTTAGTCTGGCTTTAAAACAGTTATGATCAACAAGGAGAAATAATCTTTGAAAAAAAGTAAGTCAATGTAATTTTTTTTCTTAAACTTGAAGGTTTTCTGTATTTCATACTAAAAATGATATTTGTCCTCATACACAATTAAATTCTCTACTATGATATGGTTTCATCCATAATTCAGAAATGTGCTTTTTAAGTTTTTGTTGTCACTGTTTCAGGCCAAAAAACTTGCATTTTCCTCAGCTAAAGAGCGGGAAAAACTTTCTGAGCAACTTGCTCAGGCAAGAGCTGGAAAAGGAAAGTCAACAGAAAAAGACATTTCTAAGGTATTTTGTTTATTTATTACTCAAAAATCCTCTGCCTGTTTAGTTTAGTGGAACAGTGAGTAGAAAACTCCATATTTTGTCCATGCAAAAATCTGTATACTATCTACCATTTGAGAGTGCCAATGTACATATTCTTGAATAGACTCGTATGTTTATGTTAGTTCTGCCAACTAAAATTTTGGCATTTATTTGGTCTACAGGGGTATACTAGTATAGAACTGTTACGGTTTACTTAAGTCTGTGTTAACTGAGTGAACCATATGAGCTAATTTTGAGTTAATGGATGAGAATTAACTTTGAGGAGGGCAAAGGGGTGTAACGTCGACGCGTGGGGTGATGTCAGCATGAGAAATGGGGTAACTTTGACACTTACACGTTAGACGTAGAAATTCCGTTTTCCGCCATGTTTGAAAAAAACATGACTTCCCCAACATAGGAAATTAGAGCAAATAAAAACAAGGTGTCGAAGTTACCCCATATGTCGAAATTACCCCCAAAATGGTGTCGACGTCACACCCCTTCGCCCTATACAGTATGTGGTAGAACCTATCATAGAAGATTGCATCTATTCATATCATCATATTTTCAGCCTGACAAAACTAAAAAGGTAAATCATTACTTTGATAAACTAATTCCCATTTCCTATATTTCAGTATTTTCCTAACCACTATTAATTGTATTTATAATCACTTACTATAAACTGATTAACATCTAACATCTTAACTTTAGGTTAAGGGTTGCTAAGGTAAACAGTTTATGAGGTCAAAAGTCATCAGGAAGGTCAAATGTGTCAAAAGATTATGAATACATTAAAAATATATGTGTATTATATACACAATCTACAATATTCATATTGTTGAGGTCAAGCAACCTCAATTCTTATAAAAGGTCATATTCAAATATGTAGTTTTTTTATTGATGAACCCTGAAGTCAGGTTATATTTATTTTTTGTGAGGTCAAGGTCACATTACCAGAGAGGTTAAATATCAAACCTCATAGGTCAGAGTATATTTATGTCACCACCAAAAGTATTGTTTAATTACACCACATGGACTTAATTACCCTGTGATATTTCTCTTTGATGCTTTAATACTGTTCATTGTTATATAGAGTAAATATTTTCTGATTTCTTTTTTGATATCCCTTCAGGGATCCATTTGGGAATATTGTTTTGCAAATGATACTATACACAGATATTTCCCTCATTAAAATATAATACTTATAAAAAATATTTTTCCGTAAAGATGAAGGCTCATCATCACAGGGAGACAGGTGTGGTCTTGCATTTTTGTCACTCAGTCCTTGATGGCCTCTGTGTTGGGGCCATTGTTTGAATATTTTCTTATGTATAAGGGGCATTCAGGCTTCACTTCAAAATAATTATAGTTAAGTTTTAATACCATCATATAACATGCATGGGTTATGTCATCTGAGTTTCAGGTCGTTTCAAGTAATGCTGATTAGATTCTCAGCTGATTAACATTAGGGGCATGCTCTATTATATTCATGCATACATATTGCATGTATATTTGGTGGTTATACTTAATCATTTTTACATATAAAATGTATTTAAATACTTATATACAGTATACAATATATACAGTATGATTAGATAAGTCTGTATGTAACAGAGGTTAACATACGTTTTTAATCTGATAAGTTTATCAATTTCATTTTATCAAAAGTACATGTACTCCAAATGTCTGACAATTTATGAAGAATACTTAGGAAAAATTTTGGACAATAGCATGTTTCATCTCTTTTCATCATTATCTTTAAATTGCAATGAAGAGTGAATTTATTTTGCATTTCCTTCCAATTTTAGAAGTAATCCTCCCTTGAGAAATACAAAATATTTCACCATTCTCAAAATATATTTACATATCAGCTTCAGAAAAGGGTGAACACATCTGATGAACTACTACGCAAAACAGACCGAGATTATCATAATGTTGCAATTAAAGCAGAGGGATCAAGGGAGGACTGGGAAACTGCAGTGTACAAGGTGAGCATAATACAACTACAGTAAAACCTGCGTATATTGAACATTATTTGCCAAGAAGAAACATTCAGTGTTGGTAGGTGTTCACCACAGAGAGGGTAATTTATACAGAAGTCAATAGAACATGTACAGACGAAGGGTGCCAACTACAGATAGTTGTCTACAGACAGTTGTTCATGATAAAGAGGTGTTCACTAAGAAAGGTTTTCTGTACTAGCAAAATTTCTAAGATAAATCAATTTCTCAAGGTTCTCATCAGGCCTGACTGAGGTACAATATTATAGTGAGATATACACTTGATAATGTATAGTGTTATTTAAATCAACACATTTGAATTAATGTAAATCATCCCTTGGCTAATACCCAATGGTTTGGTGATGGCTTTATAAATAAGAATAAAATGAAAATAATATATGTATGTTCTAGGCCAGTATTCAAATGCAGATGCTTGAAGAGACAAGAATTAATGAAATGCATAAACAGTTACAGAAAATATATTCCTGTATCGCTCCATTAGCACCAAGGCAAGTCCAGGTAAGGCAGTTTAGCATTTGAATTTCATTTATAAATGTTAAAAATAAAGGTTGTATAACTATTAAAGTGTTTTCACACTTTTCCAAAGCCCTGATACAGCACGTTGCTGTGTATATATCATATTCATACTTTAACAGTTGGAGTGAATACTCATCTTTCATTTCATGTAAAGAAAACAGAAATTGATAAAATATTGAGGGAGTGGGAGCTGTTATAATGACCCCTACTTTTCGGAATGGAATTGAAGCATGTGTGTTATTTTTCAGAGCTGTGAGCGTTTAAACGAGGCTGTGATATGTGTTGATCTGAATGCAGACCTAAGGACCATAGTAGATCAGAAGGGAACAGGACCCAATCAGCCAAATCAGCATCTTCTAGAATGCTATGTAAGTTCAAATATGATTGCGTCAAATCATCAAAATGCCTTGAATATGGTTTTACTAGAATTTCATCAAAAATTAAATAGGTTCAGACATAAATACTCATATCAGTCCAATATCATAGGATTTTTCTTGCTCTCATTACGTCACACCCACACTTTTTACATATTGTTATGGTCTCCAACTTTTTTGTGGTAGGCAGTTTGTGTTCGGCATTCAGTATCTGTAACAAATGGCAGGTGGTGACATTTTGCATGTTGATGCATTGTTTTATCACCTGTAAGAATTAAATATCAACATTTTGATAAAAATGAAATATGTCAATATCACTTACATATTGAATAGACAAAGTCATTCTATTTAATTTATAGGCAGAAGATTTTGCCAACAGTATGGATGTAGAAAGGAGACGGGACTTACTACAGTCTTACATGTTATATCTTACACAGAGTATAGAGGTAGAGGAGAAGGGGAGAGAAGGTAAATAGAAATATTACTACAGTCTTACATGTTATATCTAACACAGAGCATAGAGGTAGAGGAGAAGGGGAGAGAAGGTAAATAGAAATATTACTACAGTCTTACATGTTATATCTAACACAGAGCATAGAGGTAGAGGAGAAGGGGAGAGAAGGTAAATAATAGAGACAGAAGTTGATTTTGTTTTAATCAAAAATATATTACTTAAAATATTTATCCAAACGTTGAATCTGTAACTTAATAATATGTTGTATGTGCAATTTGAGTGATTATTCCTAACACATTTCCTATTTTGCTGGTTTAAAACTGCCTTTGGGTAGTTTTCTAAATTCTGTTTTTATGGTGTTAATTTGCTTTATTTTATTCATATTCACTAGGATGTAAATGTATGTATAAAGCAATAAAGCAGTTTCTCTTTATCTGCTACAGGTGTGGAAAAATTAATGGATGTATATAGAAATAAACCAGGATTTGCGGATCAAGAAACACAAGATGACACCCAGCATAGATTAGTACATGTGAGCTAAAAACATGTTTTGTTAATGTTTTATAAGTGAAGACAACACACTTATCAACTTATCAGCATTGAGATTCAGTACTATTCCAAAGAATAAGTATAATGTCCTCTCGGAATGTCTGCATCCACCACTTTAAAATCAATTTTATTCCAAGTTATAACTGTGAGGTGAACATTGTTGAGATCAGTCAAAGCCTTGAGAGGTGTTAATATTATGTGTGAGTTCATATGAAAGCCCACTTAAATTGCAAAATGAATTATTTAAGATATCTTTTTCAGTTGAACTCCATGTTAAGTTTTCTAAGAGGCAGTCAATACAAAATATCATGTGCTTTGGCTCACCTTAATGGGAAACCAAAGCCAGATCACCAATACAGCCAATATATAGAGAAAACCAGGGATAAGCAGGTAAAGTAACTAGACAGGATATGTTACAAATTCTCGTATTTTGGGACAAGTCAATTAGGACTTACATTTTAGGCAGTGCTATGCACAGGCTACATGAATTGTAGATTGAATAATCAAAATTTAGTTTGATAGTTAAAAGTCAATAGTCATAGGTTTACTAAGTTATGTGCTGCTCGGTTTTAGATAAGAGGTATAAAATCTATCAGTATCACATAAATCTTGTCGTGGACATCATAAAGAATCACACTCAAATCCATGGCTTCATACATGTAGTGCTAAATTGTATCTTACATATTTTCACTTCTGTGTGGATATATCAAATATGAGGCATGAAGAATGAATCATGTTTTTCAGGGTCTAAGTCAAAGTATTCTAAAACTGCCAATATCATTGCTATGGCAGACATTCCCTAATGATGACTACAGGGGAGCAGCAGATGGAGGGCAGCCAGATCCCCAATATGGTAAGTTAATGGAGTCCTATAGTATCATTTATTTTCATTGATATCCATTTCATTTTCAGAACTTCTCATTATTATTATAGTAAAGATGTCTAGCTTTCTAGAATTACCATTAAACCCAGTAAGGTCAACTGTTTTTTTCTTTCTTATATATTTCGTTTTCCCCAAATCTCTCTACATCTAATACATTGAATGACCCTATAACAGTTATTTTCCTGGATTCTCTCTTTAAGTTGCAAACTTGTTATAAACAATAGGCCTCTATATGTTCTTGTGCATTTTATTGCATGTTGTGGCATTTCCTTGCATCTTCTCCAATTTTATTTCAAGGATTCAATTGTTATAATTCATAACCGTTTTTATTATTGAAATTCTAATTCTAGCATGCATGTCATTATTTTTTGCTCTGTTTTCCTGTCTGTTTAGATGCACGAACCCAGTCTGTTGTGTCAGGTATCAGTGTGTGGTCAGCAGGTACATGTTGTAGATAGTTGATATTAGTGCTTTATGTTGCTTGTGCTAACAAAATAGTCAGACTGCTTTTACATGTGTAGTACAGAGGCTTGGTTTGACTCCCTTCACATCCACAAATCCCAACACAACTAGGAATGCTTGAGCTGAGTTGCAATTTGGAAGTGCACTGGCCATTTATAAACCCAGATTTTGGAAGAAAAAGGAGGAACCTGCTCATCCTGAACATAAAGGCTCTCAAATGCCATCCCTTTTCAATGTCTTAAAGAATTGATGTCCATGTCTAGGGTGGTTGGGTTGACAATAACACAGGCATCTAAATATATATTCTGTTTCAAAGTGCACATGTGTGAGTCTAGGGTGGCATTAACATGTAGTTGTTTATCTTTTATTATTAGAATTACCTGATTAGTTTACCTAGTTCACATATCATAAATAACCTGTATAGTTTAAGGATGCAGATCAATAATCATGACATATACATGAAGGCCTATCCATTTAGGAAAACTTTGACATGGTGAAGTGGCGCATAAATTGATTTGATATGTAGTATGACCCATGGAACAAAGATGTATATCGACCCATAAAGCAATGATGTAAATACTATTAACCCATACCCATTACCCATTAACTCAGAACCCATTATTTGTATTTTATGACAATGTTTGTGCTGCTCCAAATACAGTGTAAATCTTTTGGGTTTGAGTTTTCAAAATGTTTCACTATGCTGTACTATTTATTATATAGTAGTAAGTTAGGTTATGCTTTGGTTATTTGGTTTGGTACACTTTGGGATGGATAAATATAGGGGAACAATGTTGAATCATGAAATTGATTTGGGATTTTGAAAAAGTCAATTCATTATTTTAGTTTTTGTGCTTAATTTATGTTTCTCTTATTGACACCTGTATCAAAACATGACACATTAGTCTAATATGTTTAACTCAATTAAATTATGACTCATCCCTATAAAAGTCATGCAAAGGAAGTATGGCAATTTGCTAGAGGCTGTTTAGTATATTTAGTAGATATTCAGGGCTGTTAAACATGTTCAAAATGTTTTTAGATGCTTTTTGTTGTGTTTCTTTATATTGGAAGAGAAGTATAGCATATGAAGTCACCTCAAGGCCTAAATATCTAGAAAACTCTCTCCAATCAATATAAAGGGCCAAGGGTCAGCAGATGTAAAAATTCACTTAACTCCTGTTGAACATGACCATTGCCCAGTTGAGATGTAATCAAGTATCGGAGCACACATTGGTTGATTTGATGATTCTGATTTTGTATTTTAGATGATGATGAGTTTGAAACTTACGAAGGTGATGATGCTGCATTTAAACCACCAGAATACAACAGTATCCAGAATTCACCAGAAGGACGTTGCGAAGCGATTTATGAGTATACCGCAGGACAACAAGATGAACTTACAATAAAGCCAGGTAAGAATGATTCATTCTGTACATTGGTTCTGTACTAGCTTTGCTCCAAGACCCTGTGTTGTTAAAGTAGATAAGGGGGTGGTCCAGGGTCTTGAAGCAAGATTTATTTAACCATTTCCTATGGAATACAATTTTATGAATGTGTAATCACCCGAGGGCACCCCAGGGGAATGACTAACTAACGAGCATAGTGTAACAAGTCAGATAAAGAAATTGAAAGAAAGTGTACTAAATTCAATGCCCCATGTGGGAATCGAACCTAGGACCATTGGACCCCAATTCTGATGCTCTACCGACTGAGCTATAAAGGCTTAAGCAGCAACAGTTGCCTAATTCATGTCAGATAACATTGCACACATGCTGAGTTCCCTTATACCTGAATAAAAATAGATATCAACATTATATCTCAGTATTTCTTGTTTCAGGTGATGTAATAAATGTTTATCAAAAACAACAAGATGATTGGTGGCAGGGTGAACTGAATGGAAAAGTGGGACTATTTCCAGCTACATATGTACAGATGATACCTTCATAGTGAATATTTTGATACCAAAGTGTTATGTTATTGTGAACCTTGCCAACCACATATGATACTGCATCAGTATACATGTACAAAAAATCCTTGTATATATAGAGCATATATGAGCCTCTTGACTCAGACTCAGTCATATTCAATATTGTTATCAGTCATCGTCGATATGGATGTCAGGATTGATACTAGTCATAGCCATTGGCATTAGTCATAGACAGTACTGATAATTGGCTGTGGGACTACTCATTCAGGAGACTAGAAGACAATATGGCATAATTTGATACAGCTGGGCCATTTCCTCAAGGAAACCATGTTATTTATGCCACATGATGAGCAGCTGAGAGGTTCTCCCTCTGGAGTCAGTGCCACTTAATTTGTTACACCTTAAAGACTTCTCCTTTAGGAGACAGTGTCACATAATATGTTACAGATGCGCTTCTCCTTTAGGAATTATTGCCACATACAGCTGAGAGCCTTCTCCTTAAGGAGACAGTCTGGCATAGTATGTTAAAGATTAGCTTCTCTGTCAGGAGAAAGTGCCACATAGTTTGATACAGCTGAGACAATGTCCTAGTTTATTCAAGCTGAGAGGCTGTCTCCAACAGGGTTAAATGCCACTCAGTTTTATATGCAATTGTGATGCCAAATTGTTAATAATGTTCATATAGTATAGGATTACTCTTTTCTTAATGAGATTGATTATTATTAGAATATAATTATATTTTTAAAAATGCATTCCACTAATAACTGAATTGAAGAAGCCACTCTCTCAATGATGGTCTTCAAATATATTCTAAATAAAAAATACTAATGATAATGAATATTAATAAAATCAAATGTTGTGTGATATTATTACATGTATGTGGGATATAGAGTGGCTGCTGTTCTTTTTGTCTGTCAGGGCTTTTGTCTATAGAAATGGGATTTCTGCTTGAGAAATATAAATATTCAATTCTCAAGGTTCTCTCAAGAGCAGTGAAGTAGCATAACTTCATAGATAAGGTTTAATCCATTGAATAATGATATTGACTTATGAAGTGACATATGAGTGTCAGCTGAGGTCAAACTTGCTTTCTCAATTATATCTTATGATTCTGTCCATGTTTTTTTAAATGTCATCAAATATGCTCTCTGATTCATCGAATACATGGATTTCCTATTGATGACAACATGCACATTACACTGATGCATAACACTAATGCTTCAGTCACATTTGATCTATGGCAAACCATACAGTGACAGTAGCATAGGGAAATGAGGGATAAGCAGTCCAATGTAGATTTTCTGTATCCATTTTGTAAAGCTACAGCCACTGCAGAGGAAATGTGATCACTAATAATACATGTACAATGTAACACAACAGAAACTTTTAAATCTACTGTTTATTGCAAATCAGATTTCATTTCTACAGCAATTCACCAGCAAAATAAAAATACAACATAACTTGCACTTTATACAAAAATATCATAAATAACGAGACTAGTATCTTACACCAATAATAAATATCACAATAAATGAATCTACATTTTATTGCACAGTAGAATGACTGCATGAACTATATGGACACTTGTCGATAATCTGAAATGTGCCCAAGGTCCTCACTTCAGATGTCTCTAATATTGAGGATAGATGTCTTTCAATAAGAATGACAAATAACAATTGAATAACATACCTTACACTATTTTGACAAAATTGACTTAGATGAGAATATGGATAAGTATCTAATAGCTCCATAATCTTAGTATGTACACTTACAGTGTAAGTAGCCTTTAGGATGTAAGCACATGTTAGTATGTATGTAGTTATTTGTATAGATATGGTTCACCCTAATGATATTTCATTTGATAACATATAATTCAGAACATCTAAAAACATTTACATCAGCTACTCATTCAAAAACTGATACATTAACTAGACTGGCCATATTCCTAGAATCCAGAGTAAATGGGAAACTCATTAACATGGCTATTATTGCTCAGTTGGAGGGTACCTTCGGATCTTTGTAAATCATGAAATGAGTACTTTGAAGCATTTTGTCATTGTATATTACACCTAGATATCTCAGAACTGCAATATTTAAGGTATATTGACTAAATACACATAAATGCAAAAAGCCACAAAAAGCAATCTGTTCTATTATATACATCATATCTGAAAAGAATTGTCAAATATAATTTTTAATAAACATGACTACTTGATTAATAAGGCACCAATAAAGCAAACTGAAACTTTTAATTAAAATAAATATTATTTACATAACAAACACAATTTTGTGTCGTTTAATTTCAGTTGCATAGTCTCTGTTGCAATTTGATTGCTGTATTCTTGTTTGCATAGTTTCTTTTTGGGGTCGGTTCAATGAATTGAGATCCACCAAAAATGCCATTAATTTTGTTTTGACTTAACCCCCATCCTCTCATTCGAATTGAAACCTTTCCTTTAATTACGCTTGTCACAACAGTAATTCCAAACTCGAACACTGCGAGTACAAGAAATCAATGATATCACAAACCCCAAACATACGCAATTATATTTTTTGTTGGATAGCAATATTTTGACCTGACCCTTTATCACATTGTAATTTTATTAAATGTCTACATCCGAATCCATTGCCGAGGCTGCATCACCGCAACCAAAAGCATGGAGGAGTTGATCATTTCTAGTCGCCTCTGCCTTACGTCTTAAACGATACTCCTCCGCGAATTGTTTGATTCTGTTGGTGCTGAAGATGGTGTTTTCTCGTTTTTCTACCATCTTCTTGGACACTTGAAGAAACTTGTGGTCTAAACACTCTTCAAGTGTCAACCGATTCCTGAAATATAGAACTCATGTTATTATGTATTATTTATTTAATGTTGAATGGTTACTGGTGTCTAATCTCAGGGATCAAAGGATTTCTAAAATGAACTAGGGTGCATGGGACACTTGTCAAAGATAACAAAAATACAGAATGTTTATGATAACCTACACTAGTATAGAATTGAAGAGAACATTAATGTAACCTACATGCATTGTATGATTAAAATCCATCAATGAATAAAATGTGATACCAGTTAATTTTATCAACTATATAGAAATGCATCTCATACTTAAACCATTTGACAGTCTATTTTTGTATATTTATATTTAAATGTATTAAACTGAAGTACTGGAAACACTTACACAGGAACTCTCTTTAGTGTCTGGTAGATAAACTTGAGAGCCTCCTTAGTAATGCTGTCGTAGAGATCATGTGCATCGTAGTTCAGATAGTTGATGTTGGATGTTGTCTCCTCATCACTTTCACCTCTGAATGGTGATACACCACTCAGACTGAAATACAAGTTCTTGTATATAAGGGACTGGGTCAATATTGTATTGTTATCTCATTATAACAACTCCTACATCTTGCTCAAAAGTGTAATTGTACAAATTATTTAGTTACAAGTAAGGGTGACACAAGAGTTCCGAAATCTGTAGTTGTCAATATTTACCCAAAAAACAAGTCAATGCTTCATGAGGTTTTTGCATAAAACTGGGTAGATTATGTTTATTATTGATATTTGCATGACTTTTTTCAAACATCCAAAAAGACTCAAATCATTGCAAAGTCCCAAACTCAGAAAATTGAATTGAAATACAATGATGCTGTATAAGTAAATAAGAAAGTTATTCCAAAATTAGAGGCCTGCATTTATAGTGTCACACTGTATTTTAATCAAAAGTTGGTTTATTGTAGTTTTAAAATACCCTTCACTCATTTGGATTCAATAAAATGTCACCATGCAATTTACAAACAACCAAAATACATGTATGTACCATACAATATCAAAATGAACCATATCAATATTAAGATACAAAGACCAGAGTCTGGTACAGTCAAACCTGTTTAAGTGGAACACCTTTGTTACCTTGGGAATTGTTGCTCTTTCAGAGGTGTTCCACTTTACATGTTTTACTGTATATTTAGATACTTACAGTATAAATGTGAGAACTCCAATTCCCCATATATCTGCCCCAACTCCGCACAGATCTTTGTTCACCATTTCGGGAGCTGCAATAGAAACAGACATGCAAATGACCACAAATAATACAGGCACATATGAATTTTAATACAAAAAATGATGACAGTTTAATCAATGTTAATGAATATTTTTTTAAAGTGAACAACTCACTTTTCAACTTTTTTGATACCCCATTGACGCTCATGTTATCAAACCCTCTCACTGTGAACACTTTAGCAGTTATAATTTAAAAGTTGATAAGCATAATGATTCTAAAATAATCTGGCCTGAATCTGTGCCTAATTTAATTGTATTTTCTCACCCATGAACTCTGTTCTCCCATGTCTCTCACTTGGCTCCCCATCATCAGTGAGGATCTGCTGGGCGCAACCAAAGTCTATGACCTTGACCTTCAGGCGCCGCCTGCTCACCATGAGAATATTGGCGGGAGCCAGATTGAGATGAACAATGCCATGATGGTGTAGATACTGGATAGCATCCATCACCTGTCTGATCACCTTAGAGACCAACTCCTCGGTGTATTTTGTCTTAAATGACAAATAACGGGTGACGTCTTCTCCGTGAAGTTTCTCAAAGATGAGACAGACATACTCTGTTGTTTGGAAAGCCTCCAAAAGACGAACTATATGTTCTTGACGAACAAGTTTTAAAACCTCATATTCTTGGAGACACTCTTTTTCTTTTTCAGAGTTAAAGAGGCTAATTTTGGCGGCCCTCTGTTTGCTGCTGCCATCTATCGGATGACAGTTTCGAATAATCGAGAATTTGCCTCTGAAATTATATAAACATAATAATACAATATCTGTGTAACCACACATTTCAGAACAGTTATCAAGTATAATATTAAAGGAAATAAGTGTCAAATGTTTTCTAAAATTTAAAAATTAATATCAACTTCTTGATGACTGCCCATTTTTTGGAAAAATAATAAAAAATGAAAAAAATGTGAATGAATCTAACAGCAAGAAAATGAAGCAAGACCCATAGCATTTTGAAGGTCTAGACCCATATTTTATGAAGTCATAATTGTTTTATGCTGACAAACGACAAACCTAATGAATGCACTGCTTTATACGAGAGATGATCAATAATTAATGAACGCTTTTACACATTTTGTAGATACCTGTTTATTTGCGAAATATTCAAGTTTTATATTATTTGAATGACCCATGCACTTTCATAATAACTTAATACAAACCTCCATAATTCAGTGTGGAAGTCATAAAATTTCTCAGGTGTAATTTCTTGCAAGAAAACTTCCCTGTCTGCTCCCTTCACTTTATCGACATCAATATCTTCCCCATCCACAGGACTCATGGCCCTTGGGGTACCAGAGGGACTGGATGTGGGTGAGGGACGCTCTGTGGCCTGACGGGAGCGCAGCAATATACGTTTTGTATCTTGATCAATATCAAGGTTGGCTGCACCTAGAGAATTAAGTTGTAAAATTACAAAAAATACAGACGTACGGGTTGTCCTAACAAACTTTTCCAGTATTTCTAAGAGAAGATACATGTACTTTTGTTCATGAATCCTTGTAGAATTTAACATAATATCTTCCATAAAAACTGGAGACTATGTAATCTATGTCTATGCAAAATAATCATAAGAACTAATTCCAAAATAAAAAGAACATATTCTAATTAGGAATACAATGAGTTTGCTCTTGTTGGTTTAAATTGTGATAATGATTCCTTTCCTTAATGAGGACAGTCACACATTAGATCATTGTTGAGGATGTTGGGGGTTTGTCTGGTACTTAAAAACTTTATTTTTCTAACTGTGACTGATCTTACCTTTGGACTTTGTCTTGCACTCTATCGATGCCCAACTGTAGGGACTGGCTCCAAACTGGTTGATACAAGAGACACGGAACCTACAACAGATTAACATTTGATGTATTAGCCCAGGGTCCTGGTCAATTTAATATCATCCCAAAATGTAATCATATTTCTGAATGGCCCTCTTATATTTAAGAATATCCCCCAAAATAGTGCCTCAACACTTGCCAATGAATTTCATTGTACAATGAAGGTACATGTTGTAGCTTGAGCTGATTTACAATATTGTTGGCTTTCTCAGTTGGTGTTTGTAGGGCTTAATGTGTGTCTGTATCACATAAATCTTTGATGCTTTGAATGCTTCAGCATTTTGATTCAAAACATATAGCTATTATATAACATTTAATAAAATAGCTGTTATTACAATAATTGTAAACTGTAGCAAATAAACATACCTATAAATGGTGTCATCTTCCAGGTTGTTTATCAGAGCACATTCCCCTATTGTGTATGTGCCAGTGGTCCACCTGTCATCTCCTACAAAATAAATATAAAGTATAGACATTTGCTATGATCATTTTGAGATTTGGATTTCTGTTGCAATATCTCAGGCTCAAACTCCAGCATGTATTGAATTTATGTTATTAAATATGTCTGAGACATCTCTATTCATACTGTAACTTTCATGGGAGTCTATGATTCTGTACCACCCTGTACATTTTACCACTTAGGTGTTATCATATCACCAGATGCATATACATCTTTTTGAGGTGTACTCTCATAATTATGCATTGCTTCACAATATTTAGAATGATAATTACTAATAGCCCTTTAATAGTACTTTCATATTTTGGGTTGTCACACAGTTGTTTGAGTGTTGAATAAAAAGGCTCAGAGCGTAGCAATTACACTAATACAATCAGATCACACATTGGTGTTCCCTCCTTTGGGCTATCAAAAATCACCATTGGTGTCTAGATCACACACATTCCATACTACAGTTCTATATAAATGGCATAAATATAGCAAGAATACAAGTTGATATTAGTGGAGAAAACGCTGCTTATTTTCAGAATATTGCTGTAAATGTGTGGTTATTTATTTGCCCCTGGTCTAGGATGAATGTTTTCATTGCATTGGGATATTATTATGTCAGTTGTAGTTTAGCTTTATATGTATTGGGGGGGGGCATGGGAAAGACGTTCATGTGGGCCAAACTGTCCCATCTATCATTTCATTGTTGTCTACGATTACTTGCAATTGAGCACTCACAAGTTCATCAATTTGTGTTTTAAGCAGGCATACTTCAACAATTGTATTATCAGAACCAAACAATTAGGATGGGGCTATGAATATATGCGTTAATTATTGTTGTCCAGTGTTGTTCAAAAACAGCAGTACATGTGGCAGTACTGGAACTCATGCAACGCAACACAACATACACCCCCTCCATAAGTTTGAAAGCATTTATTGGACACAAGTAATGGGGATGTGGATTTCCAAACTTATTGGAGGGAGTGTAATGTAAAAAATTAACAAAGCAAACATGAACGCAAATAAACTTACTTTTTGCTACATCTTTATCTAAAAGCATTCAATAAATAAAATGAATGTCTACTTAACCATAAATTATGATAATACTACAAAATTATACTAAAATATAATAATAACATATATAATGCATATATATAACATACATAAGGGGTCGGATTACCTACTCTAGGTATCTATATGTAATTCTCTAATACATGTACACCTTAATGAATTATCAACGTTGATAAAACTCTATGGCAAATTCACGTTACAAACCAGTTTTTATAGTATTTGGTGGCTCTTGCTTATTAATTGTGCATAATTGGGGTATGTGATTTTTAAATGTTCCATTCAATTCAAATTAACTCATACTGGTTACTAATATCTGTAGCCCTGATAAGGCATTATTACCATTGGTTTATTTCTTGGTATGACCTATTTTTGTGATTGTGTTTCTCAAATGTTGCCCTTTGTTCTCTAGGTTTCAAATCTAAAAGGGAGGGAATGTCTTGAACCGGGGTCTGGGACTAGTTATGGTTACATGCTTATGTCAATGTTCTTACCGTGACGGCGATAGTCCACCTTGTATGCGATGATATGTGTGTTACCATCTGACTTGGGTGCGTCCCAGATGATGAACGCTTCCTGGCTGGAGACCTGCGTCACTGTAGGACGTCCCGGCCTCTCTGGGATGTCTGTAGGGATACATTTAACAATAGTAGTTGGTAAAACAAGAGTTGGCAAATGTTGGACAGTCCTAAAATCTGAGTCATTATACTAATAATTTGGTCTTGTCTTAGAAAAGATAAGATATATTTTCAAACATTTCTTTCAATCTTGATATAAATTGTTTTTCAACGAAATTCAAAAGTTAATTTTAAAAAAAATGGAATATGATTTGACAAAGACTAAACCCTTAAGAGTTTCTTACCTCCAACTAGAAGTCTAGCTCTGCAGCTGACTCGACCCAGTTTGTTCCTAGCGACGCACTTGTAGATTCCCTCGTCATTGGGCTTTGCACTGAGCACTGTCAAACTGGCTCTGCCATCTGAAGTGTAGGTACATCGGACACGACCACCACTACAAAGAGAACATTTAGAAAACGTACAGGTATCATCCTCAAAGCAAAATATATATTATATTGAAATCGAAATATCGGATACGATATTGTGATTTAAAACTGGACTGCTCCTTTTTGTGCCTGTTTTATTTCGATTTGAAAAAAAAATTAAATCTTGTCCTATCCCGAACTTAAAATCAAAATAGACAACATCACAAACTCAACACCTCTGTACCAATATCCACATTTACCTCAAATACTATAGCTTCTTGAACACTAATACTAGGCCTATTCAATTCCATAAGAAGTGGTAAATAAAATAAGTATTAACATTTTATTGCATTTCCTACTCACGTCTCTTTAATTAAACATTGCTTATGACAGTTCATTTTTTCAATCAAATTAAAATGCAAATGTCCATACCTGTGTAGGAGCTCCTCGTTCCTATACCATGTAACACTGGGGTGTGGGCTGCCCACTATTCTGCACTTCAAAGTGACGTAATCTCCTACAGAATACGCCGTATCGTTCACTTTCTCCCGGAACACTGGCGGACAAACTGTTGATGAAATGGTACAGCAATCAGTACAATCAGAACAATGAGCAAAATAATGCAACAAAAAAATTAATAATCAACCACGTTCAAACAAACCGGCGATGAATTAAAGTCATTAAAAGATGTACAGTGTCCATTCTTTCTAGTTGAAGGCAGAAAGATGTGATGAGTATCAGAATGAATGTCATTTGATTTTCAAATTGGCCCAGTACAATTATCAATAAAAGAAGTTTACATCCATATAGATGAGGCCACCAACTTACGTTGACAATTATAGTGAAAATTGACAATGACCTCAATCCTTATTGTATCCAACAATGCATTGACATTATTAACAGAGTTGCATTTGACACTGAGAGTTAGGATTGACTTTGATTGTTAGGATTGGATTTGATTTTGATGGTTATGACTGAACTTTAAATTGAGGTTGATTGGTCGTTATGATTGAGCTCGCTAGTGGTCGTTGTATCTAATTTAGATGTTGATTTGACAGACTAAAATTAACTTGGATATTGATCGTTGTAATGAACATTCATCGTAATCATACCTGCCAACCTACCGTATTTTTACGGGAATCTACCGTAAATTTTTCGTTTTTCCGTAAAAAAATGACAAACTTCCGTAAAAAATACCATGTTTTTCCCGTAAAAACGCCCGTAAAAAAATTTACCGTATTTTTTTCGAAATCTACCGTAAATTTATTTTTTAAAAACTCGTTTCTTCCATGAGAACGGCCGTAAAATCTACCGTAAATTTTTGAAAATCTACCGTAAATTTTCGAAAATCTACCGTATTTCTGCTAAAATCAACAGTATTTTTGTTCAAACTACCGTAAAATTTCCCGTTATTGTTGGGAAATGCTGAAAATTGAAGTCTTCCTGTACTGTCCCTGTAATATTCCTTCACCAACCCGAATATAAATAGGTATCGACAGGTCTGTGGTTATCAGGTTATTGCGCATTTATCTCAGTACGCTGGCGTATAATCAGTCCAAACACCAACTACCACAAGAAAGAATTCTTTCTGACATGTTAACCAAACCCTTTTGTACACAGATCTTTATTCCGAATGCAACAAAAATATGATTTTAGTTGCGCTTCATCTAAATAAATGAGTGGAAATGACAAAAACTACTTGCTTTACCGTATGAAATATGCGTAGTTTGGTTTATGATCAGTACTGAACGCCACATATACATTATACATAGTTTAATCAATTTGTTTTCAGTACGATAAAATGTTGTATTTTTCATCTGAACACATTATATCAGTAACAAATACATAATATATACCAACCAGCATGAGGATTATGGAATTTTTTCTGCATCTTTATTCTATTTTCACACTTTTGGATTTGATTACAACCATTCGATATTCCACTCTATTAAAATGGTTCGAAACACGTAATAAATTCGTTTGCTTTTACACATTTATATTTGATTTATGTAACTATATATGCGATAAATGCACTAATGCGATTCATGTTATTCAGTGTTTGGTAAAATGTCACATATTTAAGTCACGAACAAAGACGGTTGACACATAATATATTTAGAACACACATCAAATACAAATATACTTTAGAACCAAACAATGTTCATTTACCGAACATTTACCAAATAGCACGGACATATAGTGACTTACCCCACATGATTAATGACATATTGCACATAAAATCATGTGGGGTAGGTCAAATTCTTCCACAAAACTAGTTATTTTAAAATCTATCGCAAAAACTACCGCATTTTTTCCAAATTTACCGAGCGAAAAGTACCGCATTTTTGGCAAATCTTCCGCAAAAGTACCGGTTTTTCAAAAAATTACCTTAAAAACTACCGCAATTTTCAAAATCTACCGTAAAACTACCGCGTTTTTTCCGAATCTTCCGCAAAACTACCGCTTTTTCAAAAAACTACCGTGAAAACTACCGCATTTTTTCAAAATCTACCGTAAAACTACCGCATTTTTTCAAAATCTTTCGCAAAACTACCGGTTTTTCAAAAAACTACCGTAAAACTACCGCATTTTTTCTAAATCTTCCGCAAAACTACCGCTTTTTTCAAATTTCTACAGTAAAATTACATTTTTTTCAAAAATCTACCCCAAACCTCTGAAACTACAGTATTTTTTTAAATCTACCGCAAAAACTACCGTTTATTTTATAAATCTACCGCGAAAACTACAGTTTTTTAAAAATCTACCGCAAAATTCACCGTTTTTTTCTAAAATCTACCGTAAAAACTACCGCAATTTTGTTGAAAAATACCGCAAAAACTACCGTATTTTGAAAAAATCTACCGCAAAATTTTGGTCTTAGGTTGGCAGGTATGGTAATGAATAAAACTTGACTAGGACGATCGTTGGAATGAACTTGACTTGGACCTTGATCGACGGGAATGAACTTGACTTGGACCTTGACCGATAGGAATGAACTTGACTTGGAGCTTGATCGTTGGAAAGAAACGCGACCTTTACCGTTAGGAATACACTTGACTTGGACCTTGGTCGTTGGAATGAACTTGGTATTTTGAAAAAATCTACCGCAAAATTTTGGTCTTAGGTTGGCAGGTATGGTAATGAATAAAACTTGACTAGGACGATCGTTGGAATGAACTTGACTTGGACCTTGATCGACGGGAATGAACTTGACTTGGACCTTGACCGATAGGAATGAACTTGACTTGGAGCTTGATCGTTGGAAAGAAACGCGACCTTTACCGTTAGGAATACACTTGACTTGGACCTTGGTCGTTGGAATGAACTTGGTTTGGACATTGATCGTTCAAATGATGTTTAATCGTAACTCGAACGTTAGGAATAGTTCTATTAGTAGTATAGGATTGTATGACATGCGAATGGATATTCCACTCCAAAACGTATTCTAACAAATGGTCGTTACATGCATTAAATCAATTTTGTTTATTTTACAAGCATAATTATTAATTTTCAGTATGACAAAACATATATGGCAAACATACACATACAGGTTCACATGTTCAGAAACTTATTTTTCTCCATCCCGATCTCCACCACTGGAAGCTTCAACGGACGCAGTGTTTTTGATACGCACCAATTTTGATGTGCATTGTATTTTGGTGCGCACCAGTTTTTAGGAAATGTTTCATTCAATGGAGGACGACGCCTGTTCAACAGTCATCCCCGCAGCCCGCAGCATATTGGGCAAGGACAAATCATGCATACAGACTCTAAAAGTGATGCGCATCGTCATCGCGCTTTTTGAAAGTGCTACTGCGCAATGATACAACTTTACTCAATTCTGGGAGAAACAATCAATCAAAGAGTAATCTGAATAGTGCAACAATCACTGGGATGCAAAGAAACAAAGCTCTACCCAACAAAACAACACAGACACCTTTGCTAAACCCGGACAGTAAACTAGTGATGTAGGGGTGTTGCATCAACAATTTCTGTGATGGTGTCAAGTTCAATCGCCTGTCTGTGTAGTTATTTATCAAACATTCCAATGGTTCTCGTGAATCATGGAACACGGGTTCTAGATGAAACATGGAATGTGCACGTGCTAAGTTGTAACTTCGTCCACTGATTTTCCTCCTCACCACTTCCCCATCTTTTATCAATACGCTCTCAGCAGCGATTTTGCTTGCTTTCTTAGCCTCTTCACGTTTAAGTTCACGTTCTTTTGCTTCTTTATCAATTTTGTGATTCGTAATCACAGTTTTCATAACGGATAGTAACTTTGGCAACGACGTCTTCTTCGGGGATGGGTCTTGTGCTTTCGGGTTGTCATTTTCGTCAGTTTCTTCAGTTATTGTGGCCACATTGGGCACACTCAGTGATGATTTACGTCTTATCTTTAGGGCAGGAACACTTAAAGTGTTGTCCATTGCAAGGTCATCTTCTCCATCAGGGGGAGACATATTATCAATTTGTACATTGTTTTCACCATAAACCATAACTATGCTCGTAACTACGTCACTTTCAATTCCAGAGATATCATCATCTGATTTTATGAATTTTCTTTCAAATTTAACTGAGTGAACGTCAGATGAATTGATTGTTGCAATAGAATATAAATCATTATTGTTTCTATCGATGTTTGAATTATTGGAATCGTGACAAATATGTTCATGCAAATCACATAAATTTCTATCTAGGCCTAGTATACTACATGCAGGGATACACGCCATGCGATTCGTACCTTCTCCCATGCGTTTACGTTTAGGTGGAGTGCTCTTGGCCGAGCGTCTCCTTATTGTGTCATCCTCGTCATCGTCCTCCTCTACAAGCATTCTCATCTGTCCACCAACAGTTCTGTCAGTGACCTTCTTCTTCTTTACCTTCTTTAGTTTAACCTTCGGAAGGTTTTCTTTATCAACGTCCTTGAGAGTTCTGCGTTCTTGGAGCGTTTTCTGCGCAATCTGGTACTCACGGTCGACGCTTGAGTCAAGGATCGGTGAATCTATGGACGGTATTTGGACATTCAGCTCAGGGTGTGGCTTACCATCGCTGCGTTTATAAGCTCTGAGTCTTACAGGGAGACTCTTATCACCAAGCGGTAGAAGACATGTGTCAGGGCCTTGTTGATACATGGTGCTCCATTCTGCCCAGTTGTCTTCATCTTGTAGTTCAACATCATCCTCAGATCCCGACGTTACGGTATCAGAGCCAATGATCATTGGGGATGGAGCTCTCATTACGCGTAGCTTATGGCTACTCGCACCCCCTTCAGAACTTGCATATTCACCCCAGCCTCCTGGGGCCAATCCACCGGCTGCTCCCCCTGGGCTGAGCAAACTCGGGGGAGGGCTAAACAAACCTGGAGGGCTCATAAGTCCGGGCGGACTAAATATTGAGTGCTCAAACGTAGCAGTAGAGGATGGGGAGCCTTCTCTGAGTGGGGTCGGTGGAGGCCGTTCGCCCTCAAAGTCCAGACCCATTTCTGGTATGAGCAGTTGTGGCACTTGGAACATAGGGATATCAACCATCAGCTCTGATAGAGGTTTCATCTGAACAACGTTCTTCACATGTCCGGCAACTCGCTGGAAGATTAACATCAGAATTAAAGATCAATGGGCCTTGCAAAAGTAATTGACCATGTACAATATTATATTAATATGTTTTACTTACCTTTGATACAAATGCTTCTTATAATTCTATATAAACTACTAGGCTACCAACAGGGACCTAGAGATGCTGCTATTGAATATAGTACTTAAAAATAACACTTCAGAAAAGATAAAGCCAATAACATCTTCGCATTGTTTTTATACCGAAATATAATATATCCAGTATTGTAATACATTAATAATGATATCTATTCTGCTGATAAGTATGTGAATAGATGCAAGATAATGGGACTTATATCGGTTAAGGTCATTTTAGGATTCAAAATATTTAAAGGGGCTCAACATACCAGCCACCTGCTCCTGGTGTGCAGAACGTGCAAACGATCTAGATTTATCTTGGGCCCCTCTCCTCTGTTTTCTGCCAGCTGGATGAATGGGTGCATCAAACACTCTTCTACGCTCATCCGGTCCCTAAATACAGGGGTTCAAATCATCAAATTTTTTAATTCTACCTTATTAGCGTAAAAGTTTATTATTTAATAAACACTAATGGGATATGGTCATATAGACTTTGCATGTGCTGGCGTTAATGCCTTTATTCTTCATTTTAGTTTTAATATCTGCAATTTCATTATTCTAGATTCCTTCCTAGGTTTCATTTGTAACATCTACGGCGTTATTAAGAAATAATAAATAATTGAAACAGAGAATAATCATAATTCAGATGTGATTGATTTAAAAGTTGAAAATCTTAAATTGTAATAATTAACAACTAATGATGAAAGTAATACTTACAATGGGTTGAGTTGGAGGATTCTTGTTACAAAGTCTTTAGCCTCGTCTGATATGTTAGCAAACACGTCACTGTCAAAGGACCAGTCAACTTTCTGGATCTTTTCGAGTGTTTCTTTATCGGACGCACCTCCAAATGGCGACAAGCCACTCAATCTGTTAATATACAAGAAAAATCAAAATAAAGCATATTTCAAATCCTTTCAACGAAAACAATAAAGTGAAATATAGAACAATCTGACAATGTTTAGAATAATGCATACCCTGTATCCTCCACGACTAATCGCTCTACCCCTCTTACTAATTACAAATGATTTAAAATGCTCATGGCCTTTGATGGGTCTTAAGCTATGAAAAGAAAACCATATGCAGTAAATACGTATAATGAAGTGCTCTTCCCACTAGACAATATACATAGCCTGGTTTGGAATAGAATCGGCCTGGTGAAAGAATCATCTCTCATTTGAAGTGGGTAGCGGTAGTCGATCTCTTGCAGAGGGTAGACAATACTCGAAATTGACATGAAGAGGCTTGTTGAGATATTTGGATAAATAGCAATAAAGATATCTGGTAAGTTTGGTTGTTGTTGTGCAATGAAGATAACATCAAGATGTAACAACAACACTATGCAGCCCATTAAAGGGGTAACAAAGACTTGAAATGAGTTTAGAGGAACTCTCAGAAACGTAGTTTTATAATAATTCTTAATCAGAACATTCCATGTTAGACCCTTTTCCTCAAAACTCACTCAGTTTTTTCTTGATTAATTTTTTGATTTTAAAGGTTATTCGGCAAACTTTTGGAGGAGTCTCCCTTTTCAAATCTACAGACAGATAAATTTCTAAGCTTAATGTTGTATGCCGGACACATTGACCTACCTTTCGAAAATATAGTTTCCAACATATTACGTTCTCCAGTCTTTGGTGCCACTTTATTTTATGACCCATACTTTGAGATTTTGATTGTGAACCATAAATCAAATTGTATCATATATCGAGATAATCCAGTCAACGATAGAAAAGGGCTACTTACAAGATGTATGCGATTACTCCAACAGACCATACATCAGTAGCGTAGGAGACGGAGTCGTCATTCACTGTCTCGGGGGCAGCAAACTCTGGCGTACCGTAATGGAACTTCAATGGCACCTTGGGGTTGTACCGTCTTGCAAATCCAAAGTCAGTCACCTTTATTTCATCCGAGGTGTTGTTAGCTAGATGAATATTTTCAAGCTGAAAGTAGGATAATGTTGGATCAACATCAACGTAGTTAAACAAAATCTACTTAGTTTTTATCTATTTAGCCACGCACGCATTTGACTCCTTTCATCCGTTAAGAAGAGTTCGTAATGATTGTTGATCACGATTTATTCACATTTTATTGTTTTTGTTTTTTATTCACATCTTGCGCTCATTGATACCCTTTTCAATTCGCCCCAAGCAATGGTATATCTTTAATTGATCTCGAATGTCCAACGTTTGATGCGTTTTATCATGGTAGCAATATCACAAATCCAATGCCTGTTAATGTCGAACCGTTGCACACAACTATTGACTGGAAGGCGCTCGATCTCGTATTTTCTTGTTCCAATGAACATATTTCACAAATCAAAATATGTAAATAATCATAAAGACCCTATTCACATAGGCTTTACACTAATGTGAAGAAATTCAGTGCAGTTGTAATCCCAAATCCAACTGTGGTATTGATAAACTAATCAACAGGCCTATATGGTTCGGGGGCCATTGTCCACATATGATGGAGAATTGGAAGATTAAATAACTGGTACTCTTTTCAGAATTTCAATTATCAGATGTTGTTAATCAAACACATTCAAATGTTACCTTAGCTGAACTGAACACATCAAATTATTTCTAGGTCAGGATTGAAATGTGATATAAAACATAAGAAATAACTTTTATTATATGAGACCAGATAAATTGTTTCCACTCGAAACATTTTAAATGATAACTGTCATCTTTAGAGTGAAAGAAAAAACACTACAACTTTTGCTTCAACAAAATCGTGGCACGAATTGTTATGTCAAATGTCTATTCATGCATATGTTCTAGGCAAATAAGTACGTCTTTCTTCAAGTAAGAACGTCTTCGTTTACTTTCTTTAATAATAATAAAACATAATTTTGGTCAACGTCTTAATCATTTTGTTCCTAGACGGTTGACTGATCTCAGATGTTTAGAGACTTGTCCAAATTAGACGATGACTTCCCGTGATCAAATGGGGTTGAATTTGAATTAAAGTCACTATGAAGATTCGTTTCCGTTGGATGGACATCGCAGATTGAAGACTACAAATTGGATTTTAGAGAGAAATTGAATGTCCTTTCTTCAACGACACAATTCAAATAATTTACCATTAATAAACAACTTCATTATTGTAACCTTTCCTTTATATTATATGTACTGATCTCATCAACATGAATATTGGACTCCTGGAGATTTAATGAAGTGTTTTTAATATGTATCTAACTGCGCGTTCGTTCTGAAACGCAAGATTTTTATCAAAAAGATAAGTGAATCCCATCTTTAATTCTAAGGTGCCTCATTATGCGAAGGCATTCGTAAACCACTTTAAGTCTAAACGTAACATTTAGTCTTGTATCAAATCTCTGGACCCTCCCCAGCTCAACCATGCACATCACCACCAAAGGTGAAGTGTGCTGTTAAAGCAAAACTAAGCAACATAAATTCGCGAAAACACACCTTTAAATCCAAATGTAAGACGTTGTGAGAATGCATGTGTCGGACTGCATCCAATATTTGTCTCACAAAGAAAGCTGCTTCACTCTCTGTCCAGGAATCTTCTGCTATGACTTTGTCAACCAGTTCTGGACCATTTACTCTAGGCACTTGTCAAGGTCATAACATTTCGTGTTTGAACGACATGGTGAGGACACATCGGTTGCAAAGTTCACAGTTTTTGTGTAATCCGGGAACACTTTCAGAACAATAAATTTTTTAAAAAAGGTTTGATCGTACCAGTGTAGGCATTATTATACATTATCATTCATTACGTCTCCATTCTTGCAAAGAACATGCCTTTCTTAAAATAGCTAAAAAGATGTGATGAATATCAATATACGATAGATGTCTAGTCATACATTTTGTGAACCACGACTTTCTTCTTTCACAAAAAAGTTGGAGAATGTAACAATACTTGTGGTGGTGACATAAAAATGGGCCTTCTTGGATAATGGGGTCAAAATATCACCAAATGTTTGCAATAGTGACAGCGGTATACCACTTTTGGTGATATAACGATTCCATTTATTGCAGGAAGACATTTTTGCACTCTTGTCAGTTTTCATGCCAACCACGGAGTAAATCATTTCTTCATTCCACAATACTAAACAAACAAACAAACTCAAATGCAGATAAATGTTAGAAGCACACGTATCATAACGAGGGTCAGATGATGGGGGAATCTCATTATTTAATGAAATAATCTAATCATAGGTTTTATTATAAAATTAATATTTATTACATGCACTTTTATTAAAAACGTTAATAATATTCTAATTTTATCACAATATGTGATTCCCTGAGTATAATGTAAAGTTAGTGCAGAAGGGTTGCCTTTCTGAGTAGACTACAGCGTGTAGTGGTGCAGAAGTAAAGTGCAGAAGTAAAATGCAGAAGTTATCAGAAAAATACCTTCGTATATGTATACGATATAGTATTTTGCAAAATGATCTATCTGAATATAGCATTGGTGGAATCGCTCACCTTCATATTAATTGTTCACCTTCTCGCATACATTGGTGCAGAGAAGAAAATCATACAGTAAACCTGTCAAAGTGGAACACCTTTGATACATCTAAAATGTTCCACTTTTGAGTGTGAGGTGTTCCACTTATAGAGATTCATTTAACTTAAACCCTTCCTGAGTTGAATACAAAATAGTGCTCATGCAATAACGACATGTACATGTATCATGCAATGGGGACAATCATGTAGAAACTTTGAGAGTATGATGTAGCAGCACACAGTGGTGTCATTGTAACACATTGGTGTCAGTATTCGTCACAGTCATGCAATTAGGTTCTTTTTGCAAACATTCCAAATCATCCAAACTCTTTTAAGTGACAGTAGAGAATAGAGAATATATCTATAAAATGTTGGAAGCAATCTTTTCAAAGAGCAATGCTAATGTTTCTCTGATTGAGATACCTGATTGAATGTTGAATTTATTGAGTCTATTAAAGATTCGGAAAACCAAAAAAATAAAGTCAGAAGCCAGGCATGACTTGGAATGTTTTTAGCAAAAATTTTAAAATTGTGACAGATATTTGGAAAGTTAATTTCAATTTGTCTCTTCTTTGATCCAGCCAATTAGACTACCTAGTCAGGAAATCCTGAGATTGCATACTATGACTAGCCAATGGGGAATAAGGGTCAAAGGTCATGCAATATCACTTAGTGCTTCAGTTCACGGAATGAGGATACAGTTCCATAACTAGGACGATTCTCCTCTCAATGGGGATAAAGGGTCAAAGGTCATGCAATGTCACTCAGTGCTTCAGTTCATGCAATGAGGATACAGTTCCATAACTAGGACGATTCTCCTCTCAGTTTCATAGGCATCCACAAGATCTACAATATTCCGATGTTTACAAAGTCGCAATGTTTCCATTTCATGTCTTAGTTCTTCTTTCATTTTCTCATTTCTCGCTCTGAGGAACTTTGCAGCGAATTCACAACCAGTTGACTTTTCTATCATACGCCTCACTATTCCATAACGCCCCCTATAAGGAAATAATTCATTGTTCATTAAATGGTTATTTAATATTCTAAAAGCAATTTTTGTCCTGAAATGATCCTAACTTGACCCTAAAATATACAAAGGTTTTTCACTTATATTCATTCGAGATTTTTCCTTGAACTATTGTGGATTACTCTATCACCAAGTGATAATGAAGTGATTAATTTTTCCAAAGATTTGGGAAATTCAAGAGATGGTTGAGCATTATTATAATATGTGTTTCTGTTTTTCAACTGTTGCCCCTTAATCTGACAGTGTAAGTGAAGTTAAGCCCTTTACCTGCCAATCTCCTCTAGAGTGTGGTAAAAGTCCTCAACCTTTGTAGGCTTGAACTGAATATCACTCAAGAAGGTTGCCTTCTCTGGAAAAAATATAAGAAGTACATGTTGCATCTGATTCTTCTATATGAGATGAAACACATACTACTGTATGAACATCATACAAATAAGCATCAGTAATGTGTTGTTTATGATATGGGTGGAGCTACATGTAGCTTAAACACCTCAAAGATATTAACTTTGATTCCAGCCGGCTATTTCATTGTGAAAGAATCCTCTACAAATGCTTCCTCTTATGGGGGAACAGAAATTTACAAATAGAGATACAGTGAAATCTGTTAAGTGTAACACCTGTATAAGTGGAACAACTCTGTTACTGGAACACTTCACAGTTCCAAGACCAACTTACTAAATGTTAGATGAACACCTCCCGAGTAGAACACTTTTTAGATGTAGAGATGTACCAAAGTTGTTCCACAAGGATAGGTTTTACTGTATTAATTTACTTACCATCTATGGTGACATTGGCGATACAGTGGACTTTGCCTGCAATGTTCTCAGCAACACATATATACAAGCCAGTGTCCCGACCAATAACATTGTCCAAGCTAAGCACCCAGTGGTCTTTATCTTTCCGTTTTATCTGAAAAATTATGTAAAAAGTTAACACAATGATAACTCTGTGTTTAAGTATTCTTATAATTTGACTTTTCATACAAGTTTGAGATGAAATATAATTTTGAGTTTTGACCTTTAAGTTTATGTTATCCTCAATTCACGTTTTAAAAAACCTTTCTTTGATTGGCTGGTGATCATTATGCTCAGTTTACGACATGAGGTATATACCAATTTAATTCAAAAAGAGAGATATCCAACATAACAGATAGACAGACAAAATGTATAACATCCTTTCTAACCAAATATGATTTTTCATGCTTAAATTAAGAAAGTGACTTTAAAGGGAATAGATTGCAAAAGAGATATCAGGGTCAAATCAGTATCACACACCATCATATCTGCACAGTTTCAATCTTGGTAAAACATCTAACATATAAATGTGAATTAAAGGCCAGCAATACACTCCAGGTTAACATTGTTTGGGAGAATATTGGTACATTTGAGAGAGAATACAAAAGGAAATATATCTACATGTAAAGTACATTTATTTGAATCTGAGAATGCATGGTCAACAAGAGACTCGGAGAGGATATGAGACAATTTAAGGCAATACAATCTCCTCCAAAAGAAGAGGGACGTTGAATAAAGACCTGGTTGAGCTAGAGCTATAGGTTACCACCACTCTAAACTTACTCTTTCTTGTGAAATATTTGAAAGATGGATAGCCTGTAATAAATAATATATATTCATTTTCAAATATATCAACAGAATCCTCTGATGTGCTTCTTGATTAGCCTGCTTTTGGAGAATTTAAGTTGTTTATGGTTTATGGCTGTGGAATATAAGTTGGGACACATGTAGTGACTCTGTTTTGAGCATTAATTGTATTATAAATGTACTTCATATGGTTTATTGGGATTGTGTGAGTTTGCACACTTCATATGTTACCTCCTGTATTTCTTGGATTCATTTTCATATGTGTCCTCTAAAAAAGTAGACATTCCAAATACAGCAATGAAATATAATATGTATGATCCATTTTTTCTTGTATTAATGGTACTTACCCTAATTCTATGGGACTCGGGGAGAGTTCTCCAGTCTTTGTTCCAGGAGAGTTTGGGGTAGGGGAGTCCATCTACCCGACACTCTAGTTTCCCACTGCCCCATAGTGGGATGGTCAGGTTCTTTAGAGGCTCCAGGAATGTCGGCGGATCTACAAAAAATAATACAAACTAAGTAGAATTCAAAAGGATGTTTATAAATGTTCACATTTGGTGAACCTTCCTTTCCTTTCAAACCTGGGTATATTTAGCAGTTGGGTATGCTTAAGCAATATATCTGTCATATGTGATATATAAGATGTACTGTAAAATCTGAACTATCAATCTTTTACTACTGAGGAAAAATAGTGCAACTATGTCAAAGTTAAGGTATATGTGAAGTTGACTAATCAATAAGCAACATGTGGTCTTTACCTGCCATTTCAAATTTAACAGTCCAGGATGACTCTCCATACTCATTCTCAGCATAGCATTTGTAGGTTCCAACATCATCCCATGACATATGATCAAACTCCAGTGTACAAACACCCTTATCATCCAAGTATGCACTGTAACGTCCACCAAGGTCAATCTTCTCCCCATTCAGGAACCACTTTAACCTAGGATGTGGCCAGGCATGTACTGTACATGTGACTTTTGCTGTATAGCCCTCAACTCCATACTGTGTGAGATCTCCTTCCTCTTGGTACACAAAACTAGGGGGAACAGCCAGCCCTGAGTCTGGTTTATCAAACCCAATGTCCCATTGTCTTTCCCTAAAGCATGGCCTACTAGGCTCGCTTTCACCAAACTCATTCTGAGATTTTACTCTGAATTTGTAGTCCTTATCCTTCACTAAGTCATTCACTTGAGTTGTGCATTCTGGGATACCATCTTGTACCCGTTTCCATTCCACACTAGGGAGAGTTTGCATCTCCACAATATATTTAATAGGGACTTGCTTGCAATAAGGTGAAAGCTTTCCAGGTCCCCAACATAATACCACATTGTTGTCTGCTTTCTGAGAGATATAAGGGGCTTCTGTTGGTGGCAATGGAGGAGCTGAAACACAGATAGTATTATTCCATGACACACTAAAGAGATACTTCTATACTTCAACCTTTTGCATCAATCTTGGTATCCCTTAACCTCCCCTCCTTAGAAATTTGATGCAAGGCTAGTTGACACTGGCCACAGATACTATTGTAAATGTAATGCTGGTCCAATCCAAATATGATCCCCTACATTGATTTTCATATAATGACCTTTACAACATATCATTATACTCATTCAGGGCCATTATTGTCCATATAGAGGAGAACCATAAACCCAGGAGGAAAGTAATTTACATGTATTTTAGATGAGGATCGGGTAACCTTTTTAACGTAACAATAGAACAATATAAACAATATGTGAAACATACCTTCTCTAGTAAATGTGGATGAACCACGTCTTCCTCCAAAAGGAGCGTGGTCCACAGTATCTTTCAATAGCCGGTCTCTATAGGCTGATCTACCAGGTTCACTTTCTCCATACTCATTCTTCGCTCTGATTCGGAACCTAAAATTGTTTAACATTCATCCATTACAACAAATTCATCATGATATAAGACATAATTTGTGCAAAAAATAATGTTTGCACAACATTTGAGGCTGACTCCTCCATATAACCTACTTGTCGATTTATATCTCCAATTGAATGATTTCACCCAAAATTTAATAATAGTAATAATTTTGATTTGTATTTGCCCCCTACCTGTATTCCTTGCTAGGATCTAGATCTGGAATATCAGCAGTAAGTTCCTTTATATCCTCAAGTTTTCTCTTCCAATCTCCACTGGGAGGTTCTTGGTATTCCACTATGTATGTACAGGGACCTGGTTTACCAAGAGTGGCTGGTTTTGCCTTCTTCCATGTAAGAGCCAGCCCCTTATGAGTGGCATTTGTAATCTTTGGAACATCTGATGGCATTCTTGGAGGAGCTGGAATAGAATTGTAACCTGGTATTAGCAATTTTGCTTCTGGTTTGTGATACATCAATTTTGTTTACATGCAATGATGCAACACAGATTTCAGGTTACCATATCAATAAAACTACAATAGAAACATGCTATAATTTTACAAATTTCAATTTATATATCATCACATTATGACATACACATAATAAAATCTGCTCACCTCCTCTTCCATAGAGATCTTCAATTGTCTTCTCTTTCTTTCCTCCAACTGTAACATGTCTTGTTGGTTCACTGGTACCATACTCATTAGAAGCACGAACCCTATATTTCCAGTCACCCAAATCTGGCTTGAAGTCCTTTACACCATATGTTGGATCAGACAACCCATCAACCAATTTCTTCCATGTGTAACCATGTGGCTCCTGATACTCAACGCTGTATGTGATTGGTGATTTCTTTCCATATGTGGGTACATCTGATGGTGACCATGTGAGAGTGAATGAGTTATCGGTGAGGTTAATAACATGAGGAGCATCAGGGGGTGATCTGGGTGGAAGGGCCATCAAGTGGTCATCATCCCTCTTGGGTTTCTCCCTTCTCACTGTCATACTAGGCTCACTGTTGCCATATTCGTTGTGAGCTCGAATCCTATACTTGTATTCCTTATTTGGATCAAGTCCATCTAAGTCGAATGAAATACCATCGATGCCTTCATGAATTCTTCTCCAATCCATATCAGTTGGTTCAAGTACTTCAATTATATATGTTATTGGAGATGGTTTGCTGTATGGAGGCATTCTTGCAGGGTTCCAATTCAGGGTAAGTGATTCTGGTTTCCTGTTGGTGAAGTATGGGATATCACTTGGAGCCTTTGGTGGTACGGTGATGAACTTATCTTCATCTTTCTCAATTTTATCCCTGTGGACTGATGTAGATGGTTCACTTACTCCAAACTCATTCTCGGCTCGAACCCGGAATCTATAATCCCTTCCTGCATCTAAGTTATTAATGGGATGAGAAGTGTCATTAATTCCACCCTTCAATCTTTTCCAATCAAAATCAGGTAGTTCCTGAAATTCTATGATATATGTGATGGGGGATGGTTTCCCGTATGCAGCTGGCTTTGCTGGAGACCAGTTCAATATTACCGATGTGTCTGTTTTGTCAGTGAAGAATGGTGTATCTGGTGGTGACCTTGGTGGGACAGTTAGTGCATACTCATCCTCTTTTTCCCTACGATCTAGTCTAGCAGCCATTGTAGGCTCACTGACACCAAACTCATTATGTGCCCTAACTCTGTATCTGTAATCTTTTTTAGGGTCAATATCACCAATATTGTAGCATGTATCAGATATACCATCAAATATTTTCTTCCAATCAAAGCTTGGTGGATCCTGTACTTCTATGCTATATGTTATTGGTGATGGTTTACTCATCGGTGCAAGTCTAGCTGGGCTCCAGTTCAGGGTAAATGAAGTATCAGCTAAATTTGTAATATAAGGAACATCTAATGGAGCCCTAGGAGGAACAGCAATTGTCTGGTCAAAATCTGGCTCTTCTCTTTTGACTCCTTCTTTCTTGACTGCAGGTGTTGGCTCACTTGAACCAAAATCATTCACAGCCTTAACTCTGAACTGATAATCCTTATGGGGATCTAGATTGCTAATCCTAAACTTGGTGTCAGGAAGGTCAGATCTTAACCTCTTCCAGGATGACATTGGTGGGGTATTTGATTCAATGTGATATGTGATAGGAGATGGTTTCGAGTTTTCCTGTGGGAGAGCGACTTCCCAGTTAAGAACACAATCAGATTTGCCTACATCACTGATATAAGGTGTACCTCTGGGTGCATATGGTGGCAGTAAAGCTAAATATTCAGTTTTGGTCCTGGGTTTCTCACGCTTGACCGGTAAACTAGGTTCACTCTGACCATATTCGTTTTCAGCTCTAACTCTGAACTGGTAATTGTCTTCTGGAAGCAAGTTGTGGACATCATATGTTGTATCAGGGAGTCCGCCAACAAGTTTATTCCACGTAAAAGCAGGAGGCGATTGCATTTCAACTATATAAGATATTGGCGAAGGCTTGGCATTTGGTGAAAGCTTAGATGGGAACCATGACAGAGTAAGATCAGTGCCTGTTGAATTAGATATAGTTGGTGCATCAAATGGTGACCTTGGTGGCACACCAACTGACAGGTCCATCACTCCTTCCTTAGTCACTCCCAAGGAGGGTACACTTTGACCAAATTCATTTTCAGGTATCACTCTGAATCGGTAATCTTTTTCAGGATTCAGATCTCCTATTCTATATGATGGGCCATCTAAGCCTCGTTTGTATGGGGTCCAATCACTACTATTTGGTTCCATAATATCAATTCCATAATGAATTGGTGATGGTCTGGAACCTTCTGCTGGACCAGATGGAGCCCAGTTGATTACACAGTCATTATCAGATATATCTGACAACCATGGTTTCTCTTTCAAGCCAAGTGGTGGAAGTCCAGGAAGCATATCTTCAGCTGGTTTTTGTGGTTTTAATTTGGGTCTTTTCACTGGGAGACTAGGCTCACTAACTCCAAATTCATTCTCTGCACGGATCCTGAATTTGTAGTCATTATCTGGATTCAGGTCTGTTAGCCTGAAGAAAGTATCTGGGATTCCACCAGCAACCTTATACCAATCTGGACTAGGTGGATCCTGTCTTTCTACTGTGTATGTTATTGGAGATGGTTTGGCATATGTTGGATATGAAGATGGATACCAATTAAGAGTGAGGCCCTCTGGTGGTTCAGAAAAGTAAGGCACCTCTGCCGGAGCTCTTGGCGGAACAGCTGCTCGAAGATCTCTGAGTCCTTCCCTTGTAACAGCGATAGTAGGAGAGCTTTTGCCAAATTCATTGACAGCAAAAACCCTGTACCTATAATCTTTGCCAGGGTCTAGGTTGCCTATCTTGTATGATGGATCAGGTAAGTCACTTGTCAGTGTTTTCCATTCTGAGAGAGGAGGATCTTGGTATTCAATGGTGTATGTTATTGGAGATGGTTTAGAATTAGGTTCATCATTTGCAGGTGCCCAAGATAATAGAACAAAATCGTCACCCCTGTCATTGAAATAAGGAGCTTCCACTGGCATATTTGGTGGAAGAAATAATTGGGGTTCTTTTGCTTTTGGAGGCTCTTTAGGTGTCCTTTTAAACTCTGCAATAGGAGAGGGATCACTTAGGCCAAAGTCATTCTCCGCTCTTACTCTGAAGTTGTAATTCTTCAAAGGATCAAGTCCCCTGACATCATAAAATGGATCGGGCCAATTAGAACTGAGTTTGCTCCAGTCATTATCAGATGGCGAGCACACTTCAATGTTATACCATAGAGGAGATGGTTTAGTATTTGGCTGCCTTTCAGCTGGGAGCCAGCTTAGCCTAAGAGATGTATCCTTAAGATCACTGAATGTTGGCATTTCAGCAGGTGGCAGGGGTGGAATCTCCCTTGGTTTTTCCCTTGTGCCATTCTTGTCAACAGGAAGTGATGGAGAGCTTGGGCCGAATTCATTTTCTGCTATAACTCTAAATTTGTAATCCTGAAGTGGATCTACATCTTTAATTGTATAATTGTTGTCTTTGATTCCATCATACTTCCTTTTCCAATCAGATGAGGGAGGTGTTTGTACTTCAATGACATATGTTATCGGAACCCTCTTTGCAAATGTTCGATAATCTGCCGGTGACCAGCCAAGGTCCAAAGTTCTATCATCTTTGTTTTCACTAAGAATTCTTGGTGCCTCCATAGGCATATTTGGTGGATATGGTTTGGTATTTGAGTCATCATCTGGTTTGCTATCTGTATCATCTATTGGCTTGTCTCTTCTCTTAGGTCTCTTGGCAGGTAAACTATAGTCAGATTCTCCATAATCATTCAAAGGTGTTACTCTGAATTTGTAATCCTTGTATGGATCCAAACCATCCACTTTGTATGTTGTATCTGGTATATCTCTTGCAAATGGAACCCAATCTTTGCTGGGGTATGCAAGAAGCTCAATGTTATATCTGATCGGATTGGGCTTTGCATTTTTTGAATATGTTGCAGGAGACCAGTGAAGATTTAGGCTATCATCTGTAGCATCACTAATTGTAGGAGCATCAGTCAAAGGTCTAGGTGGCTTGTTCTTTCTCATATCTTTTACACCATCTCTGTTTACACCTAATGTAGGAGTGCTTGGTCCAAACTCATTTTGTGCAATAATCCTGAATCTATAATCTTTCTCTGGGTTTAGGCCATCTAGATAATGGGTTGTGTCTTTCAAACCACTTGCAACTGGAGTCCAGTCAGCATCCCCAGGCTCTTGGGTTTCAATGCTATATGTAATAGGGACATCTTTAGCATCATCAGGAGTTGTGGCTGGTTTCCATTTGAGGTTGAGGTTATCTGGTTTGCTGTCATATATCTTAGGTGCATCCATAGGCATGTAAGGTGGAAGATGTTGCAGGGGCCTTTCTCTTGTGAGCTCTAATACAGGGGTAGGATCACTCAATCCATAATCATTTTCAGCACGTATTCTGAATTTGTAATCTCTCAATGGATCAAGTCCATTAACATCATAGAAAGGATCAGGCCAGTTTGTGCTTAGCTTTTTCCAACCTATATTAGGTGGACAGAGCATTTCTATGTTATACCATATTGGAGATGGTTTACTATTTGGTTGCCTTTCTGATGGAAGCCAGTTAAGCTTAAGGGATGAGTCTGTGAGGTCACTGAATGTTGGCATTTCAGCTGGGGGAAGTGGTGGGAGGGATTTCCTTTTATCTTTAGCCCCATCTCTTGAAACTGGAAGTGATGGCGAGCTTGGTCCAAACTCATTTTCTGCAATCACCCTAAATCTGTAATCCTGGTAAGGATCTATGTCTGGAATTGTGAATTTTGACTCAGGTATGTCATAATATTTCCTCTTCCAAGATGAGGATGGGGGTTCCTGAACCTCAATGGCATATGTTATAGGAGACCTCTTTCCCATTGTGCGATATTCAGCTGGTGACCAACCAAGAGAGAGAGTCTTATCATCTTTGTTTTCTTTAATAATTCTTGGAGTTTCCATTGGCATGTTTGGTGGATATGGTTTAGTATTCTGGTCTTGATCATCCTCATCTAATGGTTTGTCTTTTCTCTTGGGTCGTTTGACAGGCAAACTATATTCAGATTCTCCATAATCATTCAAAGGTGTTACTCTGAATTTATAATCCTTGTATGGATCCAAACCATCCACTTTGAATGTTGTATCTGGTATATCTCTTGCAAATGGAACCCAATCTTTGCTGGGGTATGCAAGAAGCTCAATGTTATATCTGATCGGATTGGGCTTTGCATTTTTTGAATATGTTGCAGGAGACCAGTGAAGATTTAGGCTATCATCTGTAGCATCACTAATTGTAGGAGCATCAGTCAAGGGTCTAGGTGGCTTGTTCTTTCTCATATCTTTTACACCATCTCTGTTTACACCTAACGTAGGAGTGCTTGGTCCAAACTCATTTTGTGCAATAATCCTGAATCTATAATCTTTCTCTGGGTTTAGGCCATCTAGATAATGGGTTGTGTCTTTCAAACCACTTGCAACTGGAGTCCAGTCAGCATCCCCAGGCTCTTGAGTTTCAATGCTATATGTAATAGGGACATCTTTAGCATCATCAGGAGTTGTGGCTGGTTTCCATTTGAGGTTGAGGTTATCTGGTTTGCTGTCATATATCTTAGGTGCATCCATGGGCATGTAAGGTGGAAGATGTTGCAGGGGCCTCTCTCTTGTGAGCTCTAATACAGGGGTGGGATCACTCAATCCATAATCATTTTCAGCACGTATTCTGAATTTGTAATCTCTCAATGGATCAAGTCCTTTTACATCATAGAAAGGATCAGGCCAGTTTGTGCTTAGCTTTTTCCAACCTATATTAGGTGGACTGACCATTTCTATGTTATACCATATTGGAGATGGTTTACTATTTGGTTGCTTTTCTGATGGAAGCCAGTTAAGCTTAAAAGATGTATCTGTAAGGTCACTTAATGTTGGGATTTCAGCTGGGGGCAGGGGTGGGAGGTATTTCCTCTTATCTCTAGCACCATCTCTTGATACTGGAAGTGATGGAGAACTTGGTCCAAACTCATTTTCTGCAATCACCCTAAATCTGTAATCCTGGTAAGGATCTATGTCTGGAATTTTGTATTTTGTCTCGGGTATGTCATAATATTTCCTCTTCCAAGATGATGATGGGGGTTCTTGAACCTCAATGGCATATGTTATGGGAGACCTCTTTCCCATTGTGCGATATTCAGCAGGTGACCAACCAAGAGAGATAGTTTTATCATCTATGTTTTCTTTAATAATTCTAGGAGTTTCCATTGGCATTCTTGGTGGATAGGGTTTTGTATTCTGATCTTCATTCTCCTCGTCGACTGACTTATCTTTTCTCTTAGGTCGTTTGACAGGTGAACTTGGTTCACTAGAACCATATTCATTCAGTGGTGTTACCCTGAATTTGTAGTCTTTAAAAGGATCAAGGCCATCAACCCTATGTTGTGTTTCAGGAATATCACCAGCAATTGATTTCCAATCTTTACTTGGTGGTTCATTTTGTTCTACATTATACTTTATAGGTGCTGGCTTAGCATATGATGGATAAGTAGCTGGAGACCAACTGAGGTTTAAACCGTCATCTGTCATGTCACTCAAAGTAGGAGCATCGTAAAGAGATCTAGGAGGCATTTTCTTTCTTGTATCTTTTTCACCCTCCCTTGTAACTCCTAATGTTGGAGTGCTAGGACCATATTCATTGACAGCTATTACTCTGTAGCGGTAATCCTTTTCAGGATCTAGATTACCTATGTTGTGACTTGTATCTACAATGTCAGTTGCAACTGTTGTCCAGTCAGCATCCCCTGGTTCTTGGACCTCAACAGTATATGTAATAGGACAATCTTTGGCATCATCAGGGATGCTTGCTGACTTCCACTTCAGGGTGAGTTCCTCTGATTTACTGTCCCTAATTCTTGGAGCATCCATTGGCATATGTGGGGGGAGATGTTGAGGCTCAGGGGCACTGGCAGCCTCTGCAGCAGTCTCAGGGGCAATGATATCAGTCACAATTTCACCACCTAAAATATTTATTTAAATGCGTCTTGCAAGGCTGAGATATTGGTGGTACATTTGGTTCATATAATTTATACTGGGTGTATGTATTGTGTCACTCAACAATCGGCCCCTACATAAGTGCTTTCAGACTAAAATATGATGTGAATTGTTCTACTATTTACATCTAAAAATACAATGTTCTTCACAAATATACTATATGGTTGAATAACGTATTCTTAAAAGTATTATCATTCACAGATTATAAAAATATTTAATCTTCCATAATTATGCAATCAGTATGGTTATTCACACTCTCAAATTATATGATGCAAATATTGTAAGAAATATTGAAAAAGAATTGTGACTATTATCATAAGTTGTCACTTCATATGAATAGAGGTATAGCACTTATCTAAATGACCATTAGACATAAACATAATCTTCTATGGACTGATATACAATAAGACAAATATGCAGGCATACCTTCCACTTGAAGATTAGCTGAACATTCCACTTTTCCACTGGCATTACTAGCTACACATGTGTATGTGCCAGCATCCTCTGGATTGGTGCCATTGATTGTAAAAGATATGTTCCCACCATCTCTGGTAAGGTTAAACTTGTCACTTGGCTCAATGGGGACACCATCCTTCTTCCTATAAACATAAAGTTATTTCTTGTGGTCAACAAAAATTACTGATATATTACTTTATTTGATCACACAGCATTTCACTACACCTACCACTGAATATCAGGGTCTGGAGACCCAAGCAGTCTACACTCAAGTGTGGTTTTGTCCCCTGCACTTGTGATTGCATCATGGAACCTCTTGGTGAACATTGGAGCATAACCATCTTCCTCTACTTCTTGTCTGCAATAAATAAATATTTCAAGCTGTTGATATCAGTTTCTGTGATATATAGAGAGTTGTAGTACATGATTTCTTTTTTATCTAATGTGGCCAATTGAGCTAGATATAACTTACTCATTTGAGAGTCAGCAACTGCAGGTTAAGGAACACGACAATTGATTGCTTGATGTTGCCACTTACTCATTGTCAAACTAAAAAATTCAGCTAGGTGAACTTACTTTTTCTTTTTCTTGGCTGCTATTGATAATGTTGCCCGTGTCGATACATCTCCTTTGATGTTGGACACCTTAATCTTGTACTCCCCTTCGTCCATTGTCATTACATCAGTCAGCTTGATTGTAAACGTCTCCTCCACTTGACTAAACTTTCTGTTCTTGTTCTCATATATTCGTTTTCCATTCCAGAACCACTCAACTTCATAATCTGGTTGTTCAGGGACTTTAATTTTACATTCTAAAACAACATCTTCACCACTTTCTACTTTAGTACTTTTAAGTTCTTCTATAAGTTCAGGTGGGTTAGCATGTTTTTCAACATCAAGTTCCACAGTGAGCGTGGCACTACATTCCACTGTACCATTGTCATTCGTAACTTTACATGTGTATTCACCAGAATGCTCAGGTAAGGCCTCATTTATAATGAAAGTTGCTACTGGACCTTTGAATGAAACGGTGATGTCATTGGATTTTTCAACAGGTTTGCCCATGAAAAACCACTCTACCATTGGCAAAGGGTCACCCATTATGCCACATTTCAATTTTGCTGGTTTGCCTTCCTTAACTTTAACATCTGTGAGTGGCTTTACAAATTCAGGTATATAACCAACCAATTTCTTCTTAGGTTTCTCTTTTTCTGTAACAGTTAATATTGCACTACATTCCTCAACTCCATATGGGTTCTTAGCTCTGACAGTCACCTCACCAGAGTATACCTGTTTGGCCTGCTTGAATGTCATTGTTGCTAACTTTCCATCAAATTGGGCGTCGACCCGTTTTGATGGCTCAACTAAATGCCCATCTATGATCCATTCAACATCAGTAGTGGAGTCACTGTTGATCTCACATGATAGGATAATTGGGTGGTCACCCTCCTCAATTGTCTGATCTTCTAGCTTCCTATCAAATCTGGGTGGAACATCTTTAGTTGCCTCCACACCTGCTGTATCTGAAATGACCAAGCCATTGCTATGAATATCAAGGATTCCATACTTGATGTGTGACCATTTCTTTGGTGACCATTTCTTTATTTTGTACACTGACCCATTTGCTGATATATCAATGGACTAGGAGGCTTTTTGCTTTTTAATGGATGATAGAACTTATCATAGTACTGTTTTGAATATAAGATGATTGATTGATAAACTAAACATTATCAGGATTGATTTTATACATTTGTATTTTACTTGTTGCATGTTTCTTTTTAACATTGTTTCCTATAGTTGTGTGTTGTACTTTCTGATTAAAGGCTTATAAGACCTAGAATGAAGGGATACATGAATTTCTATGTTTCCCAATCAAATGCGATCATTATAATATTTTAACAAACACCAATATGAAAAGATTAAGAGTAATTTTGCAAAAATAAAAATTGTAGTATAATGATATATAGTGTTGCTACAAATGAACATAGTAAAAGGTAATCATAAAACAATCATATAGGAGTATCTTTTGTAACGCATTGTTACAAACTAACTGTTAGTATAATTTGTATAGTGATATTTATGAATTAATTATCTGGAAATTAATATCACAATCATTCCAGATATAAGCAATTAGTATAGTGTGATTGTTTAATTAATCATTTATAAGTTATCAACTATCTAGAAGATTATTAATGAAGATAAATTTTAATTGCATATCAAATATGTCTGACAAATTGATCAATAATAGAAAGAACAAATGCAATTTCACAAATCAAACTTCAAACTTGCCTGGGATCTATAGCTACTGCATGCATGGAGTAGTTGTTACTAGCTTTTGCTAGTATGGACTAGTGGGACTTTGACACTCTAAAATCATGCACAGCTTACCATCCGGCCCATTAGACAGCTCGGGTATTTTAACAGTAACCTCAGCACTGCATGAAGTCTCACCGTACTCATTTTTAATTTTACAAGTGAATGTTCCAGATTCCTCCATATTATTCACAATTAGAATGGCAGCAGTACCATCAAAATCAACTAAGATATCTTCTGATTTTGTAAGTGGATTGTTATTGTATGTCCATTCTGCATGTGGGTCTTCCGTGGCAAGAACTGTACATTCCAACACCAGAGTCTGTCCCAGGTCAACTTCAGTGTCACTGAACTTAGATATCAACACAGGGGCAACTTTCATGGATTCATCCTCACTTGCTGAGACCCTGGAGAGTTTCTTACTCTCATCCTCTAGGATGGTTAGCATTGCTTTGCATTCACATTCACCCTCAGTGTTTCTGATTTTACATGTGTATTCCCCAGTGTCTTCAGGGTACGGGTGCTTGATAGTAAAGCTTGCTTCAGTTCCATCAAAACTCATTGTAAAATCATGCGAGGGTTTTATAATATGGCCATCTAATAGCCATTCAATGTCAGGCTCTGGTGTGCCAGTGATATTGCACTTAAGCGTGACTGTCTGTCCTTCTGTTACACATATATCAGACAACCTGGCTGTGAAACCAGGATTTCTCCCCTCATCTGTAACAGAACAATCAAAATATATCATGCACTAAGGGCTCCCAAATAGGGTATCTAGATTCCTCGTTGCAGCATTTCCCTATTGAGAGCCCATGTGGTGGTTAATATAGAGAGACTGGTTAGCAATGTTCCAGGTAAAAGGTATATACTTCATAAACTGTACACATAGGGAAAGGGAAATAGGGATAGGGAAATATTTTTCTACTGAATAAAGGTACATGAAATATTTTTCAGTGTAAGTATCATACATATATGGATGTAAATATTTACTGCACACAAAATAATACACAAAACAATATTACAAATTTTCCATTCAATAAGTTAACACACAATCACAACTATCAAATCTCAGGGATTGAAAGGGACATGCACATACACAAGTCCAGGGAAAATTCAAAGAAAATTGCATTCAGTCATTCCCTTACCTTTCATAGTGAGAGATGCACTGGCACTGTCCTCACCATATTTATTTTTTGCTTTACAAGTGTAAGTTCCTGAATCTTCAGGGCTCACATCTTGAATTCTAAGGGTGAAAACATCTTCTTCATTAGAGATTTTGTAATGGCCATCATCTTTGAGCACCATATTGTCTTTGCACCTGTATAGAAGAAATGTGATCGACAATGAATCACTTTAAACGTTAATTGAAAAACACAGAATAACCCGATTAACCCAGAAAATTCTAAAGTTGAACGAAACAACTTTAACTTAAATCAAACTGTGAAAGTGATTTATGATTGAGCGATTTTCCCAAAAAAGCATTGAATTGAGGAATATTGGGTTACCATGATATTTCTGCATCTTGAAATGCTTTGACTTTAACAGCAAACTCGGCAGCCTGACCTGGCTCTACATCAGTGAGGTCTTTGAGTGTCTCTGTAAACTCTGGCTTCAACTCCTCTATTGCAGGAGCACCTGCAAAGTGAAAATACATGTGCTATGTACAAGAACATAATATTTAACAGATTCATATATTTGGATTAAACCTCCTGAGCTTAACACATCCTAATACTAATAATGTATTCAAGTACCATAAATGGCTCAATAAAATTCCTAAGTCTATACCTTTCACAGTGAGAGATGCACTTGTACTATCCTCTCCAAGTTCATTCTTTGCTTTACAAGTGTATGTCCCTGAATCTTCAGGGGTCACATCTTGTATCTTCAAGGAGTGCACATCTTCCTCATGGGAGAAAGTAAAATGACCAGAATCATCCTCTTTGAGCAACACATCATCTTTGCACCTTTAAGAAATTGGGCAAATACAACAGGGCATATTAAGAAAAATAATTCATATCAATAAAATACATCTATTTAACAATAATAGTATTTTGAATTCTACCACAAAATAGTAAAACGGTAAGAAATCCTGATATTAAGTCAAGCTTAAATTGAAAAATAGTAACATCAACATGGCATGTTAATTGTTATATATTCTGCTAAAAAATTATCAATATCAATCACATTCAAAAACTGATAAATCAAATTATAATGTACCATGAAATTTCAGCATCAGGAAAGGCTTTGACTTTCACTCTGAACTCGGCAGCTTTACCCTGTTCTACATCTTTGATGTCCTCAAGTTTCTCACTGAATTCAGGTGTCACTTCTTGTTCCTTTAATTCAGCTGAAACAATGACACATCATGTGTTTATCAATATATCTGCATCTGCAGCAACAACAATATATTTTTATACTTATATAAAGGCACTGTGTCACTTCTTGTTCTTTTAATCCAGCTAAAATGCATACAATACCAATAATCACACAAGGCATTAACATGACAAAATGTCACCACCTAAAACAATTTGGTCAATTTAAAGCAAGTTGGAAAATACCTTTTGACCTTAAAAAGAACTTCTAAGAACATGTAGATGATTTTGAAAAAAAAATTAGTCAATTTGAAGCAAGTTGAAAAAAGACCTTTTTGACCTTGAGAAGGTCATTGAAGGTCAAAGGTCAAATCTAAAGTCAGATTTGAACTTCTGAGAACTTGTAAAGTCAAATTTGAACTTCTGAAAAGATGTAGATGATTTTGAAAAAAAAATTTGGTCAATTTGAAGCAAGTTGAAAACAGACCTTTTTGACCTTTTTTGACCTTGAGAAGGTCATTAAAGGTCAAATGTTAAATCTTAAGTCAGATTTGAATTTCTGAGAACATGTAGATGATTTTGAAAAAAGTCAATTTGAAGCAAGTTGAAAAAAGACCTTTTTGACCTTTTTTGACCTTGAGAAGGTCAAATGTCAAATCTAAAGTCAAATCTAAAGTCATATTTAAATTTCTGAGAACATGTAGATGATTTTGAAAAAAAAATTTAGTCAATTTGAAGCAAGATGAAAAAATACCTTTTTGACCTTTTTTGACATTGAGAAGGTCATTGAAGGTCAAATGTCAAATCTAAAGTCAGATTTGAATTTCTGAGAACATGTAGATGATTTTGAAAAAACAATTTAGTCAATTTGAAGCAAGATGAAAAAATACCTTTTTGACCTTTTTTGACATTGAGAAGGTCATTGAAGGTCAAATGTCAAATCTAAAGTCAGATTTGAATTTCTGAGAACATGTAGATGATTTTGAGAAAACAATTTAGTCAATTTGAAGCAAGTTGAAAAAAGACCTTTTTGACCTTTTTTGACTTTGAGAAGGTCATTGAAGGTCAAATGTCAAATCTTAAGTCAAATCTAAAGTCAGATTTGAATTTCTGAGAACATGTAGATGATTTTGAAAAAAAAAATTAGTCAATTTGAAGCAAGATGAAAAAATACCTTTTTGACCTTTTTTGACATTGAGAAGGTCATTGAAGGTCAAATGTTAAATCTAAAGTCAGATTTGAATTTCTGAGAACATGTAGATGATTTTGAAAAAAAAAAATTAGTCAATTTGAAGCAAGTTGAAAAAAGACCTTTTTGACCTTTTTTGACTTTGAGAAGGTCATTGAAGGTCAAATGTCAAATCTTAAGTCAAATCTAAAGTCAGATTTGAATTTCTGAGAACACGTAGATGATTTTGAAAATTTTTTTTAGTCAATTTGAAGCAAGTTGAAACAGACCTTTTTGACCTTTTTTGACCTTGAGAAGGTCACTGAAGGTCAAATGTCAAATCTAAAGTCAGATTTGAATTTCTGAGAACATGTAGATGATTTTGAAAAAAAATTTAGTCAATGTGAAACAAGTTGAAAAAAGACCTTTTTGACCTTGAGAAGGTCATTGAAGGTCAAATGTCAAATCTTAAGTCAGATTTGAATTTCTGAGAACAGGTAGATGATTTTGAAAAAAAAATTTAGTCAATTTGAAGCAAGTTGAAAACAGACCTTTTTGACCTTTTTTTGACCTTGAGAAGGTCATTGAAGGTCAAATGTCAAATCTAAAGTCAGATATGAAGGTCAAATGTCAAATCTATAGTCAGATTTGAATTTCTGAGAACATGTAGATGATTTTGAAAAAAAATTTAGTCAACGTGAAGCAAGTTGAAAAAAGACCTTTTTGACCTTGAGAAGGTCATTGAAGGTCAAATGTCAAATCTTAAGTCAGATTTGAATTTCTGAGAACACGTAGATGATTTTGAAAAAAAAATTTAGTCAATTTGAAGCAAGTTGAAAACAGACCTTTATGACCTTTTTTGACCTTGAGAAGGTCATTGAAGGTCAAATGTCAAATCTAAAGTCAGATTTGAAGGTCAAATGTCAAATCTAAAGTCATATTTGAATTTCTGAGAACATGTAGATGATTTTGAAAAAAAATTTAGTCAATGTGAAACAAGTTGAAAAAAGACCTTTTTGACCTTGAGAAGGTCATTGAAGGTCAAATGTCAAATCTAAAGTCAGATTTGAAGGTCAAATGTCAAATCTAAAGTCAGATTTGAATTTCTGAGAACATGTAGATGATTTTGAAAAAAAATTTAGTCAATGTGAAGCAAGTTGAAAAAAAGACCTTTTTGACCTTGAGAAGGTCATTGAAGGTCAAATGTCAAATCTAAAGTCAGATTTGAACTTCTGAGAAGATGTAGATGATTTAGAACAAAATTGAAGTCAGTCTAAACAGTATTTGTTAAGTTATAGGAAGTTGTAAGAAATTGTTACAGACGCCGGACGCCGGACGCCAGACGCCGGACGCCGGACGCCAACCACCAACCGCCGTCGCAAAAAAAACGGAGACCATAACAATATGTCACCACTTTTTGGTGGTGACATAATAAGATGGTGTAAAAAAAGTTCTAAAAATGAATTTAAATATATGTAAGCGTGATAATTTGCTTTAGTTATTTCATAGTTTGTACCTTTTACAGTGAGAGATGCACTTGTGCTGTCCTCTCCAAGATCATTCTTTGCTTTACAAGTGTATGTCCCTGAATCTTCGGGGGTCACATCTTGTATCTTCAAGGAGTACACATCTTCCTCATGGGAGAAAGTAAAATGACCAGAATCATCTTCTTTGAGCAACACATCATCTTTACACCTACAACATAGTGGACCAGTACAAAATAGAACTTTAACAGACTTCTCAAACTTAAAGCACTAAAGAATTCCTAAAATCTGGTTAACAATGATTTATATTATAGTAACATATTAAAGACCTTGCATTCCTTCTAATAAAGCAAAAAGGCAAATCCATTGATATCAAATATGTATGTACCATGAAACTTCCGCATCAGGGAAGGCTTTGACTTTCACTCTGAACTCTGCAGCGTTACCCTGTTCTACATCTTTGATGTCCTCGAGTTTCTCACTGAATTCAGGTGTCACTTCTTGTTCTTTTAATCCAGCTAAAATGCATACAATATTAATAAAAATAAATAAATTCTAAAAAATGAAAATGTACTATTGTAAGTGCCAATACGTTGCTTTGATTACTTCATATTTTGTACCTTTTACAGTGAGAGATGCACTTGTGCTGTCCTCTCCAAGATCATTCTTTGCTTTACAAGTGTATGTCCCCGAATCTTCGGGGGTCACATCTTGTATCTTCAAGGAGTGCACATCCTCCTCATGGGAGAAAGTAAAATGACCAGAATCATCCTCTTTGAGCAACACATCATCTTTGCACCTGCAACATAATGGGCCAGTATATTAAGGTCCTTTAACAGACTTACAACTTACAAGACAAAGCCCTAAATAATTCCTGAAATCAGGTTAACAATGTATAGTAACATAGATTAATTGTTACCTTTACTCTTTAAAATCAAGATTAAAGACTTTGCATTCCTGCTAAAAATCCCTATTTAAAGCAAAAAGGCAAATCCATTGATATCAAATATGTATGTACCATGAAACTTCAGCATCAGGGAAGGCTTTGACTTTCACTCTGAACTCTGCAGCTTTTCCCTGTTCTACATCTTTGATGTCCTCAAGTTTCTCACTGAATTCAGGTGTCACTTCTTGTTCCTTTAATTCAGCTGAAACAATGACACATCATGTGTTTATCAATATATCTGCATCTGCAGCAACAACAATATATTTTTATACTTATATAAAGGCATTGTGTCACTTCTTGTTCTTTTAATCCAGCTAAAATGCATACAATACCAATAATCACATAAGATGGTGTAAAAAAAGTTCTAAAAACTAATTTAAATATATGTAAGCGTGATAATTTGCTTTAGTTATTTCATAGTTTGTACCTTTCACAGTGAGAGATGCACTTGTACTATCCTCTCCAAGTTCGTTCTTTGCTTTACAGGTGTAGGTCCCTGAATCTTCAGGGGTCACATCTTGTATCTTCAAGGAGTACACATCTTCCTCATGGGAGAAAGTAAAGTGACCTGATTCATCCTCTTTGAGCAACACATCATCTTTGCACCTTCACACAAAATGAAGTACAGAATACGGAAATTAATTAAACAATATTTGTTCAACATCAAAAATGATATAAACCCAGAAAAGAAATTTAAAACATAGATTACATAAATTGAAATATAGATTCATACTATAGGACTTAATGTGAATTGTGTGTTATTGCTTTGTTCATTAAAATATTAGTGTCTTTGAATTCCTTAAATGTTGCTCCTTAACCATTGTGATTAAAAAATTGCCCAATAAGTTAAACCAAAATTACACATACCATGAAATATCAGCATCAGGGAAGGCATTGACCTTGACCTTGAATTCAGCAGTTGTGCCCTGGGCAACATCAGGAAGATCTTCAATGGTCTCGGTGAATTCTGGCTTTACTGATCTCTCTATTACAGGAGCTGAAATATTTTTCCAGCAACTACTTAACAGTTTCAAAATCTGAGCTGTTTCATGAAAAAGGTTCAACAAAAAATTAGACATGTACATTTACTTTAACCATTTCAAATGTTCAGTTGTGTCACATAATATTTCTCATTGTTGTGTTTGCTTAATCATTACAAATTAGCCATTAATGGATAATACATATACTGAATTTATAAGGTATCCTTTAAATACATAATATCAACCAATCATCAGAGACATAAATGCAAATATACCTTCAATGACAGTGAGTTCAGCATTGCAGGTAGCAGAACCAAACTTATTAGTTGCCTTGACAGTGACAAGACCAGCATCCTCTTTATTCACTTCCTTGATTGTGAGAGAGAATTCATCCCCCTTATTTTCACACTGGTAAGCATCAGATGTTTCTACAGGGCCTCTATTGGTCTGCCATTGAACTTCAGGTTGAGGCTGACCGAATGTCACACACTCAAACCTTGCGGTTTCCCCTTCTGTTAAATATAAATCAAAAAGTTAACTAATTGATGATATTTTGCAGTTATGAATAACAGTTTTCTATTCTCCATTTGAGCCTACACAAATATAATATAACATGTTTGATATCAGATCTGGATCTCTAAAATTATAATTATCATAATTATTCAATGGATTCTAGGTATGAAATCAATTCTTAGTAATTCCTCTGTTCAATCTAAAACAAAATCTCTTACCTTGACAGATAAGCTTTTTGATTTTCTGTTTGAACATAGGTTTCCCTTGCTCCTCCATCTCAGTTGCAGTATGGTAACTACTCACATCACTGTCATAAGAGTCCATTGTGAAATACTCTGAAAATAATAATTTCAGATAAGCGTAATGTATGACATACACCAGTAGAGAACCAGAGAACATTACAAGGAACGCAAATATGATATTGCATTTATCCTTAATAAAAACATTTTATCAAACTAACTTATTACAGTATGAATGAAAATGTGTTCGAAATTCAAAGCTGTCTGTCTGCCAATGGCAACCAGTTTATACTATGGCAATAGATTTGAAAACAGTTGCCCATTGGGCAATGAACTGAATGCCAATATGATAAATTGCAACACTCATGTTTTGACCTTCATCTGAAACCCTGGTATGAACACCCTTGATCTTGTAGTTTTTAATTGTGATAACGGTTCCCTATGAGTGGAGGAGGATGTTGGACATTGCTATTGTGACACATTACTTTGTACATTAGATCGTGTTTTGCTTTAATTTTAATGTCATACCTTCAGCATTGGTATCACTAGTGGCAGTAATTCTGAAGCCTCCCTCAGACTCTGAAGCCTCATCTATCTTTGGTTGCGCAGGGGGTGATCTCTTCTTGGGGCTGGCCACTGGGGGAGACTTTTGGCGCATAATAGCCTCCTCTTGCAGTTCCACAGGGATGTCTGTCTCATCAATGCCTACAGATATGTATAGAGGGTGAGCATGTAAAAATGTGAAAGCGTTCAAAGATTTAACAGTATTAAATCTATAATGATAATGATAACAGAATGTATGTTGTTTTATGGCAAATTCACTCACCTTGTTCAATACTTGTTATGTGTCAGGTCTCTTTAAAAATTAATAAGGGACCAAGCTAGAAAAAGTTTAAAATTATCGACCAACCCTGTAAATAAAATACATGAAGCGACATGAAGCGACCCCTAGAAACCAGAAAACAATATCTATTCATATAGCCTACCAAGTTTCTTCATAGCCTTTCTAATATCATGGCACCAGGCATGTTTAGAATAGACATTGATAGCTTGGAAAGTGATCTTCTCAGAGGTGGAAGTTGCATACCACAACTCAAAGCGCTTCTCATCATCAAGAACAAAGTCATTCAACTGGATATCATTAATCTGCAAAATACATTTGAGAAAAATAACACATATCCAGTAAATATGAATTACAAAATATTGAAGGATGTACATAAACATGGACGTTTTCGAAGGTTTTAAGATCCAGAGAAAATTTGTAACTTAAATAATATAATTATTTAAGTATTTACTCACATCCACGACTGACTTAAATTGGAAGGAGGGTCCTTCTTGATCTGTCTCTGGCTTCTTCCTCTTTACAAGAAGTAACTTGTCATCTAACAAGAAACCAACTCTCTCCTTTCCTCTTCCTGATGTGTCTGCTGTGTCCCATAGTAAAAGGTCCTCCTACAAACATTGCACAGCATAAATGTATCAAGTTACCATAGCAACATACATTGTATGGACAACACACTCCAACATGTATCAGATTACCATAGTAATATATGTACATGTATCAGGTCATCTTAGCAACACATGTACAGCATATAATTATGAAATTACCATAGCAACAGGTATGGTCCTACATATCCATGTACTACAGGAAAATATTGAGTCAACTTACATGTCTTATGCATTGTCCAAGCTGTAAGTCCCCTGGTAGGCCATCTATTTTGCTTAGCAAATACTGATCATCTCCCTCTCTAAGAACATTAGCTAGCATCTTAATAGCTTCATCTATCTCCTGTGTCTCCTCCCCAGCACGTGAGGTGTACCGCACAAAGTCCTTCAGCAAGACCTGATAGCGTTCCAGTCTGGCTACTGGCTTGTTAAGAGATTGTTCTATTGTCACCTCAGGGCTTCCAATTGACCTGTTATACTCCTATGAAAGAAAAGAAATTTGGAAGTGAATCATTTTTCAATATTATATAATATGCAAAGATATAAAAAAAAATTATTGATATGACAAAATGTAATTTGCACATGGTTACAATTACAAAAGCGTAATTATGGAAACCACTCATTGGCAGAATGACCGAAAATCTACATACATGTAGTTGACCTTATTTAATCTACATTATTTGGCCTTCTGCTTTTAATGCTTAGTCAGATATCCTTTAAAAGTCTGGGATAGTTGTATACTTACATCAAAGAACGATCTAGTCTGATCAGTGTCTAACAGTGTATTTGCAGGGTTCCTGTTCTGTACATATGGTATGCTCTTCTCAAACTCATCTTTCCACTTGATGAAGGTCTTGCCAACACTAGAGGGATCTGATGTACACTGTGTTAGATCCTGGAGGAAGTTCTCATTGTGGAATTCATAGATTTGGGGTAGACCTCCAAATATTACTTCCTCACTACCTATTGACCAAACAAAGGAAGGTTTAAACAAAGATGTTTTACAATTACCAGCGGTTAAAACTTTCCTTGAGGCCTTTAAGACTTTTTAAGTGATTGGAGATTTCCAATATAGGTTAGACAGCAGCCAGAAAGACTTACTTTTAGTAACCTTTTAAAGGTATGGGAAGATAAAACAAACATGGATTCACCTCATTATAAAAGTCTTGGGTTCACAAAATGACTAAGTGGAAGGATCAAGAAACATACAGTGTACCAATGCACTTACCAACAAGTTCTTGAGGCAGTTCCTTGGATTCCACAAGTTTGTGGTAGTTATCCATGGTAAACTCTACATCTTTGACAAAGTCCCTCTCTGTCTCAATCAGCTCAGTGAGGGTGTAGCGGCGCTTTACCATAGATTCCTGGTTCTTGTTTGTTATCTGTATGATATCCTCTTTAACCACTTCCCTGGTAGACCGCCTGAAAAGATTCATGTAAGAGGTGTGTATTTGAGATACCAACTCTATTGTGCATATTGTTTTTCCATATGACTTTATTGAAAATTAACTCACCTATCCACATGCCCGCCTCCCTCCTTTTTCTCAAGTACACTTGAGGGGACCCATCCTTGCTTGGCAGGGTTGAGCTTGCTTGGCTTGGTTCTCACCAGCCACTCATCTCTACTCCTAGTATCTAAGGCACATACAAACTGCCCTTCTGTCAGCTTGATCCCCTCTTTCTCACTAGCAGGGGGAGTGTAGTCTGATATTGCAACATACACAGGGAAACTCTGAAATGCAGAGTGGAAATAATTATGGCATAAAAAATTCAAGATTTCTTATCAACATACATCTAATATAGAACTACATGTAGGGTGCCCGATAAGAATCTCAATTCCCATCAATATTTTGAAAATTGACTGCAGCATAATATATTTATCATATTATATTTGTGATGTTTATTTACAGGATGTTCTAATGAATTCAAACCTACCTTGCCAAAGATCTCAAGGTCCTCATCTGAATCCTCCTTCTCCGTAGAGCTGAGACGTTTACTGGGAGAACGGGAAAGTTTGCCACGACGTCTGGATTCTGGAGATTTTTCAGGAGACTCTAACTCATTTGGTTTGAGTGAATTCTGATCTAATGCACCTTGTAAATATAAAAAATAATTTCATGTACAACAGTGAATATAACATATTTAACTAGATGATTTACTCACTTTCTAACATATCATGCTGCTATAAAGTGATCTACCCATTATATTAAAAATATTAGCTACAATATAAAATGAAACTATTTATAAAAAAATATTCCCATCTGTTCTTAAAATGTTTGACAGTTACAACAGTTTGTTCATCTTGCAATAATAGTATTTTTTATAGTAGTTGTACCAAAAATCTTAATTCACTTGTCCTTTCTCCCAGCCAACAGGCTCAAATACTCAAATTGCTTTATGTTCTCAAATGTTACCCCTTGTGCTAATATTATACAATTTATATGTACACACCTTCTAATCCAGAGGAGAGTTCCTTCAGCTTGTTCTCCTTTTCCTTCTCCATTGAATCCTTGCTCCTTAGCTTTGACACAGGGATATAGCCAATCTATAAGGAAGAAATACATTGAATACTTGCTCCTTAGCTTTGACACAGGGATATAGCCAATCTATAAGGAAGAAATACATTGAATACTTGCTCCTTAGCTTTGACACAGGGATATAGCCAATCTATAAGGAAGAAATACATTGAATACTTGCTCCTTAGCTTTGACACAGGGATATAGCCAATCTATAAGGAAGAAATACATTGAATACTTGCTCCTTAGCTTTGACACAGGGATATAGCCAATCTATAAGAAAGAAATACATTGAATCCTTGCTCCTTAGCTTTGACACAGGGATATAGCCAATCTATAAGGAAGAAATACATTGAATACTTGCTCCTTAGCTTTGACACAGGGATATAGCCAATCTATAAGGAAGAAATACATTGAATACTTGCTCCTTAGCTTTGACACAGGGATATAGCCAATCTATAAGGAAGAAATACATTGAATACTTGCTCCTTAGCTTTGACACAGGGATATAGCCAATCTATAAGGAAGAAATACATTGAATACTTGCTCCTTAGCTTTGACACAGGGATAAAGCCAATCTATAAGGAAGAAATACATTGAATACTTGCTCCTTAGCTTTGACACAGGGATATAGCCAATCTATAAGGAAGAAATACATTGAATCCTTGCTCCTTAGCTTTGACACAGGGATATAGCCAATCTATAAGGAAGAAATACATTGAATACTTGCTCCTTAGCTTTGACACAGGGATATAGCCAATCTATAAGGAAGAAATACATTGAATACTTGCTCCTTAGCTTTGACACAGGGATATAGCCAATCTATAAGACAACAACAAATACACTGAGCCACTGTAGGTAAAATCGTAAGAATTCCATAAATATGACATATGAGGCTGTTGAGGTAGACCATACATGTATATGGTGAGATTGGACAGATAGGAAGGTAGATAAACTTATCCCTATTAAAGCTATAGAACCATTCCACAATATTTCCAGTTTGCATTTGAAGATAAGTCTGTGATCACTGTTCCCCTAAACAGCCCATACTAAATACTAATAAATACGAAATAGTATTTATCAGTTGAATATTGCCCTGCAGTACAGTATTTAGTAAATACTGTACTGCAGGGCAATCTTCAACTGATAAATTAATTACTGCAATAAATCAAAAAAACATTATGATAGAATCCTCCCATACCTTATTCTTTTCATCCTGCTTTCTAACCAACCACTTCTCCTTTATATCTGTGTCCATGACCTCCACAACATCATCCTCATCAAAGCTGATGTTCTTCACCACATCCATGTGGCTCTCTATGACAATAAACTCTTTGAACAGCATACCATCTTCATCTCTCTCCTCCATCTTGGACAACTCAGCTGAGATCTGGTTCTCCAATCTGTCCAAAATTGCGAGATCATCAGCAGTGGAGGATCCAATGTCTTCTGTATGCCCATCAGTGGTTTCTGCCTCAGTCCCAGTGTCTAGAAATAATTAGAGATTGTTTGATTATTAAAACAGCATTAACATGCATTTCCCTTATTATTATGAAGGCTTAAATAAATAGATTTTACATGTTAACTCAGATGTGTACATGGATTTAGAAAACTTTTTTTCCTAACAGAGAAATAATTTGCTCATTGGGATTAATTAAGTTGATTGAGTATATTTATTATGTACAAGGCATGCTATCATTCAAGAGAAGTCTTACCTTCAATGGCTTCTTCATGGACAACCAGGTTCCATGCATGGAAGATGGCTCCAGCGGAATTCTCAGCTGTCACAGTAAACTCCCCACTGTCAGCTAGAGAGGCATGGGGAATCTCCAGGTAATGTCTTTCACCACGTGTGTACATCTTAACATGGAACCCATGCTTTAGTTCACTCCCATCTTTGAACCATTTGATCACAATGTCAGAATCACCTAGATGAGGAAATAGAAAAATACAAGCGTGATTCAGTACTCTCTTTTACAGCTGCATTGTATATTGATTGTATTCAAATAAATAAAAACTGCTTTATTTAAGGATATCAAATGTGATATACCATTGGAAACTCTGAATCCTTAACACAATATTCTCAATGGCATGGGCTTCAAAACTGAACAAAATCATATTTATTTAAACACAGAAGTCAACCTACTGACATCATGAATCACCAATGATAGTTCTTTTTTTCAACAGTTACCTCCATATACTATATTTAGACATGGCTGCTCACCTTTTATAACAACAGAGTATTTGATGTTGTCAAACTCCAATACAGACCCAGAGGCAGGTTTGCTTATAAATTCAGGCAGGTCCTCTTCAGGAACCCTATAGAAAGAAAGATGTTCAAAATCATAATACAATAAAAGTACATTCAAATGTCAAAATATGTCACAATATAGTGATTCACAATACAGTACTACAATGGTCTGATACACAACCCTAAAATACCTACAAGATACAATATCAACCATTCATGGGCTAATTTGATTAACACTGACTAAGGAAGTATAAATGTGTAAGGTTAGTAAATATACTTACTTCTTCTCCTCTTCCTCCACATGAACACTGATGACCACACATATGTTGCCATCAGGGTTAGTTGCAGTGAGAGTATACTCCCCAGTGTCTTCCCCTCTTGCATTGATGATTGTTATGGTATAGGTATCTTCCTTGTGTGTAACACTGACTCTGTCTGCAGACTTCAGGAGTTCCCCATGTTTGAACCAACATACCTCAGGTGGTGGGATGCCTGTAAATCAATTCATGTATATTGTTTTGGGCGGTTTTCTCATATGGTTGATTTGGTTCTCTTATCTTTTTATCATCACCTTTATCACTATCTATGGGTTTCAAATTTAAATATGAGATTTTCATAAAATTCTCCTACAATTAAATAGCTCATTCATAATTTTATGTGAGGTGTTTTGCAATTTTCTGTTCTTTTTCACTATATTAATTTAAAGTCACAATTCAAAGTCAAAGTATTTTGGTATCTGAGAATATAGGATTAAAATTTTTGCTAAGAATTGACATAAAAAATCACTTCATCAGATGTTATGGGCATGTACATGTACAGGAGAAACTTTTGATGAAAAAGGAATTTTTCAAGAACATGGGCCAATGAAAGGCCAGTCTAGATCTCCTTTGGGTCAGTTTTCACAAAAGGAAATTTTCCCATTTTTACTGAGTGGTGAATATCTTTGTATGCCATACTGCTTCACATTTATCAATTCATGTCAAGAGCAAGAGAAGTGCTTTAAGATAAATAATCTACTCTCTTCAGTGATTTAAGAATTCTAAAATTTAATTGCACCAAGTTTATAAAATCCCGCAGAGAATCAGCAGAAACCATTTGCACATGAGAACTGCTTCGCAATTATTAAGATATATCAATCTACCTTGAACGCAATTAGGTTAGTTTGCATCGACTTATACATTCCAGAATTCTAGGTTTTACTACTCTGTACTCGCTACAAATCTAAAAATATTCACTGTCGGAAAAAACTAGCTTCATTCTTTCTTGACATATATTTATTCGCCATAATAATGAGATAAGTTAACATGTAACTGGCTGTTTGAACAGGAGTGCTAAGACAGCAGCCACATCAATCAACCGCAAAGTATGTTTTAACAACCTTAAAGCATCCCAAATGATAGCTCAACCAGCCATGCTAACTTTGCACATATACATGTGGATATCATTGAGAAAGGAGTTGTATATATTCCTTTGTGAATCAAACATGTGAAATTAAATCATGTTTTCCACTGTGCTTTTAATAACACTTTCAATTGATCACATTTCTTTTGAGAAAATAAAATATCATCTACACAGGTAACTCCACCTGACTTGATGAATCATTCTTTCATTGCATGGTGCAGTGATATGAGCCTCATTTGACAGGTTCTCACCAAAAAGGGTGTGATATGGTGAATTCATTCTCAGCTAGATACAAATACAAATGAGTTTCAAATTTGCATTCGTTTGACCAAGGGTTATTTCCAAATTGTCAACTTGGTGAGTACCTAATTGCTTCAATACTGGGATGATCACTGTTGAATTTAAAGGTTGGGAACAAAAGATTTAAGTTTTCAGTGAAGACTGACTGACCTGAGATTTTGCATGTTATTGTGATTGTTTCTCCCTCTTTGACTGTAATGTCCCCTGGTCCCTCTACAAGACATGGTTTAGTGACCGTCTCCACGGTGATCTCTGGGACATCTTCCTCTGAAGACCCCTTAGACTCCTCACTTGTGGCAATGACCAAGGCCTCTAATGTTTCTATAGCCAACTGCTTCCTTTGCTCATCCACATCTATCTCTGCTTGGAGAGTGAGGCCATCTGCATCATCTTTAGAGGTGGAGGATTCATCTACTGTGACATCTGCTAGGGCTTTGAGAGCTTCTAGGGCATCTTGCTTCACCTTTTCTTCAGTGGAAATGTCCCCATTGATAATTACTGTCTCGTCACGCTAAAAGAAGGCCAACAAAAGAGATGCATATTCCCATATGTAACATGTCAAACCATCCATTTTAAAAAGTTTCAATTGGGTAAAGGACATCACTTTAGTCTCAAAAAGTCTGTTAAATTAGTAAATATATAAGGAATGTGTTATATTTACACAAAAAGGAAATGGAAAACATGCTGTCACAATTACATTCTTTTTACTTACTCATACAAATAAAATACCAATCTAACACATAGTGAGATATTCTCAGTAGAAGAGAGCCAGTTTAATTGGTGTAGATCATAATGATTTAATATGATTTTAAAACCAAACCAAACCAATCTTTGACTTGAACACAAAAAGTTTCTTATAGTTCTTATCTTCACCAGAAGAATTGGTAACTGATGTTTTAATTTATTCTCATGAATTTACAATAATTAGATGATACTTTGGCAACTATAAGTTTTGATTATTCTAAAATACCATAAGTACAACAAGTGTATTTGTGTGAGTTAATAAGACCCAATGTCATGTGTACCTAGGAAGGTATGTGGATGTGATGTCATTAAAAGGAACACACCTGTCAAGGTAATCAAGGTCAAAAATAAAGTACAGACTGTTAAAGCACAGACTGTTCTGTCTTAGGTTATTAATTACAACTTAGCAGATTTGAATGTGTTGTATCTGCTATTTTTCAAATACATGTGTTTAGATGAGTATATCCATCAGTAGACACTGGAATAGGTCAATTGTGTGAATATACTTTACGGCAATCTGATAAGAGTTAATGGGATGTTCACCATTGCTAGTCCACTTACTCACCTTGTCTTCATCTAGTTCTTTAATCATTGTGTCTTCCTCCCCCTGTGTAGCATTATCCTCAACTAAGTCAGTTGACTGAGACACAGTGGTATCCTCTGACACATGAATTAAGGATTCCTCTTTGGTGGTCACTTCCACATGTGACACCAGATTTCCATTGTCAACAATACCACTGAGAGCTTCCTCTATGGCAAACTCCATCTTTTTCTCCTCTGTTATCTCTTCTGGCTGTTGAACAGATTTTTCCTCTGTTGTTATAGCAATAAAATTAAAATTTGTTTTCTCCTCTACTGGAGTGAGGCTACCTTGTTGTACATCAATGTCTTTCTTTGCTGATTCCTTGGTGGATTCTGAAGCAACGTGTAGCATCTTCTCACTTGCTTGCATGGTTATTTTCTCAGTTGCTGCGTCTTCAGTGAGTTTTTCATTAGCAATAGCAGATTCAAATCCTGCATTATTCTTGTTGCTTGTAGTCTCCTGGGTAACCTTCATATGTTTTTCAGTAGCTGTCATTGAGAACTTTCTCTTTGTGGTAGAGTCCTCAGTTACTGATTCATTCACTACTTCAGAGTTCACTTCTTTCCTACTAGATTCCACAACATGTTCTGATGTTATGACAATAGATTTCTCTTCACTCATGGCAGATATCTTTTGTTGGACTTCATTGACAGTGACTGTTTCACTAACATGACTTTCTGTAACTTCATTAGATTGTCTATCAGTAGTCTCTTCAATTATTTCAGCAGTGATGCTCTCATCTTGTTGATGGAATTTCTGTTCATCTGTGGTTAAAGACACGAGTGCATCAAGGGCATCAATAGCATCCTTCTTCTTTGTTTCATCTGTTTCAACATCAGCAGTTATCCTGAGACTATCAGATGTATTCTTCTTGTTTGATTCATCTATATCAACATCAGCAGTAATTTTTTGATTATCATCTTGGTCATTTACATTGTTAACTGATGTTTCATTAGTGTCAACATTAGTTGTTAGTTTCAAATTGTCTTCTTTATTGTCTTTAGTCCCCTTGGACTCCTCACTTGTGGCAAGGACCAAGGCATCTAAAGCTTCTATTGCCGACTGCTTTTTCTGCTCATCCACATCTACATCTGCCTGGATTTTGAGGCCGTCTGATTCATCTTTGGAGTTTGTTGATTCATCCACTGATACATCAGTTCTTGCTCTGACAGAATCTTGTTCATCTTGTTTAACTTTTTCCTCAGTGGAAATGTCTCCATTGATGATTATTGTCTCTTCACGCTAAAACAAGCCAACAGGAGATGCAGACACAAAACAAGGTAATTAAAACCAATGACCACAATCAATCAAATCATCATTTTGAAAATAATTCACTGAGTTTTAGTTGGAACACTTGACAGTACATATATATAGTATTCAAGAAATGGTAGTGTTAAAGGGAGAATCAGAGATGGTAAACAAAATTTTCCAAAATTTAGTATAGCAAATCACTCTTACTTTCTTGACATCATTAACTAAATATCTCAAAATGTTTTTCATACAAATTATTGTACCTAGATATTTATTATTTTAGTATATTTCTACTTTCTACATTGACAAATAACTCTAAAATTTTAATCATTTGAAAATATATAAGTTGTACAATGGTTCTTTGTGAGAAGACATTTTGGATGGTAAAAACACACTGAGAAATACTGTTGCAATTATGTCACCCCTACATCTCTGATTCTCACTTTAAATTAGTACAATAATGCATTTTACTTATACAACAGGAAAGGAGAAAAACATGCTGACACAATTCTATATAATCTCATTTATTCAAAAATACATAAAAACAAACATTAAATCAAGATCTCAAATACGTCAAAATTCAGTTAGTCTCCTACCTTTCTCATTCCCTCCTCAGAAGTGGTGATCACGGAACTTTCCTCCGTGTGGACTGTTTTCTTGATAGTAATTTCCTCCTCTTGTATGTCAAGTTCTGTTCCATTTTGTATGGCAGTAGACTGCTGTCCTTCCACATAGACTTGTCTCAGCTCAACACCACCATCTGAAACCATGCACAGAGCAATAGATAATAACAAGGCATTAAAATGTGAAATGTCATCACCTGCCATTTGTTATAGATCCCACACACCAACCACAAACTACCAACTGCCAACCACCGTCACAAAAACTTTGGAGACTGTAACAATATTAAGTGGTGACATTTTAAGCCATATCTGGTTTATTTGTTTATTTGTTTGTATGTTTTATTTTTTGTTTTGTTTTGTTTATATAACAAAATGTTATATTTTTGAATTATCATAATTATGTTACATAGAATTATAACTCTTGAAAAAGAGATTGATTTACACTGAACCCACAGAAATAGTTTATGACTAAGACAAAATCATTGTAGAGAACATGATTAGAATTTTAGCAACCATAGCATGTTGCATATTTGCTGTTTATTTGGTTGTTATTTGTCATCCAACAGAAAAATAAAGCATTTGATGTTTCATTAATATTGTGATGCATTGAGTGAACTGGTTGATATCACACATTCAGAATAAAAAGTTATAAAATTCCCAAATGTTTATGTATATGGAAGCTTTCCTGTTTTGTATGCAAGAGTGGAAATGAAGAAACTATTCAATTCCCTGATTTGATGTAAAATTTAGAGCATACACAAGAGTACTATGTGCAGGATAGCATAAAACAGAGCTTAAAGTATGAAAGTGAGTGTTTGGTCCATATTTGTGAATAAGATTATGTAGACTTTGTGATAATCATGTTTTCATCATTTTAGGGATTTATTCAACCAGAATAGTTGATGTAACAATCCACTCTGACATTAATCCAGTCTAGAGGCAAGAAAGTATCTTTATCACTGATATCTTTTTTAATACAGGCAGGGAGAATTAGCTAAATCACATCAGCATGAGCAACATCTTACCAAAACTGAGAGTGTTTTTTTTTACCTGTATATGGCTTTCATTCATTATTCTAAGGGGAATATTTATAACATTGAGTTTTCTCCAGACTAATTTAACTTATTTTATCATCAACTCTAAAATAAAATTGACGGAATCTTTGGATTTGCAGCTCAATTATGAATATTGAGTGCAAATATCTATCCCCTAAATGAAAACCAAATCCCAAGGGCAAGTGTATGGAAGTACATAGACTGGCAGAGAAATTCATCAGTAATTCAGTAGATGCTAGATGAGTCAGTTGGTAGCAAGATTCCAATAAACATGGTAAAAATAGATTCACCTAGCAGTCCAGAATGAACATTCTTACCAGATTACATCCCTAGTGAGTAGTATAACCCCTAGGCCCTCTCTATATTCTACTCATGATGGATAGAGCCACATACAAAAGGAAGACTGTGAATATCAGTTTTTGTAGATTTAGATCAATTGTGCTTTATTTTTTATTGAATGATAGATAAGAGATTAAACATGCGGATCTCAATGCTACATCTTTATTTACATGTATATCTATATGACTCTCTATATATCCACTAGAAATCAGGTCAAATGAAGCAAGCTAATTGGGAAATAGAAAGTACTAAAAATAAGTTATTATATACAAACAAAGTATGTACTCAATGATCATCAGGCTAATTAATTTACACATGAGTTGCACAAGTTTTTATATTTGTTTTAGAGTTTGCATCACAAGAGACTGTTGACTTTAGTTTCACCCCTACTTTCTCTTTTACATATATACTTGTGGTATAGCATAATGATAATGCTGTACAACAATGATATGTATTCTCTCAAGTTATCTTCACATTGCATGTTTCACTCTTCTGTCTGTCATAGTCTAGCAAATTCATTGGGGGTTAGCTTCAAATGTTGCCCGTTTCTCAAACATATATGAGAAAACACAAATCTTATACAAAGTATGTCTTTCATTCTTCAGTCTCCTCTGGTCTAGCTAATTTGTTGTGATGTTGGAAAGGGACTGGTTTCAAATGTTGCCCTTTTCTCTAACATACAGTTTATGGGGAAGCACAATGGGAAAGTTGTACAAAGTTCAATAGCAAATAGCAAAAAATGTCAAAGTGATGAAACTTCAAAGGTATGCCCTTCATTTATTTTATTCATTTATTTTTATCTATTGATTTCTCAATTCATCCCTTTTAGGGTATAAGAGTACAAATGATAAAATTAACTAAAACAGTAATTAACATTAAAATATCATTTATATATATACATTTTTTTGCCCAGCTTCATTTAAAAATTTAAAAAGTTTTATTAGCATATTTTTGTTTGAATTCATTAATTTCTCAAACTTCATGTGTGTTTGGACTTGTGGAATAACATTGAGGAAGGTACCTTTTTCTAATAAATGTAGAATTTCTCATAGTAATTAATGAGCAGTCATATCTGCGAATGCGCATTTGGAAACCACAAAAGCGTCATCCCAAGAAATTATTTGGCAAAAGTTAAGGGAGATAAACAAATATGCATTTTGGATGAACAAATGAAAATATAAAACTTTGGGATATCTTACAGTATACACTTCTCCTTACCTATCCTGAAGGTCATTAATCCATCACCATGGAAACGAGCAGATAGAAGCAGAAAACATGCTATTTATGATAACACTAAAGATAGCCCCCCTCAAATGACCACTAGAGTGCTGTTTACTCTCCAAGAGAAAATACTTTCCTCATATAAATTGCTTGACCAAGATGTACTATATGTTACATATTGAATCAGATTTTTTTGATGCACATACCATCAGTATGAGGGAATGCATTGTATTTACTATCAAAATAGTTTATCAAAACATTTACCCCCAAAATAATCTTGCTAGAAACATTAGATCATCCTAACCTAGTGTTTTTTTGGCAAACATGTTTGTTTTTTCCTAATGAACATATGAAGTGAAAAGGGCAGATGAAATTTATTATACAAATGAAAGTAGGTCACAATGGCCTAGTATTTTTGTCAACTTAGTTTTTCAACCAGGTGCATCACTCCTTCAGAACATCTCAATTCAGTTCAGACAGATGAGACATCACCCATTCAGTGAAGCACCACTTCTATAAGACAAGGTGCATCACCCATTTGAAGCACCACTTTTATAAGACAAGGTGCATCACCCATTTGAAGCACCACTTCTATAAGACAAGGTGCATCACCCATTTGAAGCACCACTTTTATAAGACAAGGTGCATCACCCATTTGAAGCACCACTTTTATAAGACAAGGTGCATCACCCATTTGAAGCATCTCAAGTTCTGTATGGTAACTATAGGTGCATTACCCTTTGAAGTACATTATTATTGTTCTATGACAATATTCAGTTCTACTCTTAATATGCAAAGCCAAGACCTCACGCTACTCCGAGGGAGCAATAGGTCCACAAAAACAATTTTCCGAATATAGAACCCTGGGTTACAGTAAAATATTCTTATTTACTGATAAATGACAGGCAAGTGCAAAAAATGAGAAAATAAATAAAAAGTAACATGCCCTAAAATGATTCTTCAACAATTTCATAGATAAGTCTAGCAAGCAGCTGTTTGCCTAACTTGTATCTCTTTATAGTTATTGCATACATGATAAGCTGAGCTGCAGCACTACTGTTTTCTCCAAAACAACATATTTTAATTCAGAAGTCTTGTACATAATTTATTGAATAATAAATAACTTTTTTTCACATTGGTACACATATTGGTTATGATCTTTCATCAATGGAGATAGTTTTCTCTACATCTATCCCCCTTTAGTTTTATTTTGCTGAAAATTTTAAATTGTTAATTAAACCCTTTTAAATTAAACAATCTAAATTGTTTTCTTTGGAAAACATGGGGGAGATATTTTTATTTTAATGAGAGATGATCCAAATAAGTTAAACAGAGTCTTTCAGGAGTTTGATTCTGATATGAATTTTTTACATGTCACCCCCCCCCTCTCCCTCTGCTGTTATCACAATTAATTTTTATTTGTGACACAGAGAGCATTTTAATGATGGAATAACAATTTCATTATTTAGCAGTAAATGTCTGTGATTTTCAACTTGCTCAAAGCAATTCAACATTCCAACATTTTTTCCTGACTTTTATGATAATGTCTAATGATGCTACAAGTCACTTTTGGCAAAAATCCTCTTTTCTTTGATATATAACTTTTATTTAACGCATCTCAAAGAATCAACTCAACAGTAAAGCAATTGATTATATTGGTATGGTTGCTTATAATAAGTTTTGACAGTGAATCAAATCTTAATCTACATATATCAAATCTTGTTTTTATATTATTGTATTTTTGATTCCTATCGCCATATGAAAATAATCTTTACTATTATTGGCTTAATTCTGGTATCTGTTAAAAATATCACTATATTTTGAAATACATGTCAATAACACTAAAAGGTCAAATGCTCATTATTACATGGATGTATTAATCTATTCCAAGATGTGGTCACACTTAAAGCTGAGGAAATGTTTAATGGTTTGCAGATTTTTAATTGTATTAATTGTTTTTAATTGTATTTTATTGAGAGGTATTTACTATTGAGGGCCAAGATCAACAAAGTGCAGGTGAACATGATTTGTTGAAATTATTCTGTTCTGGGCCCCAAGGTCAACACTGAGGTCAAACAAGTTCAAATGAAGTTCAATGTCACTGGGAAGTTCAATGCATCAGAATCTAATGAAACAATGTCTGATTGTTCAGTAAAAATTTCTTTATTTTGGGGTAGGGCTGGTAGAAATAAATTAAATGTTTTGTGCAAGGATGAGAATTGTTTTGAGAATGATAAGAATTTATTTATTAAAACCTATATCCTCAAAAGTGATTGCGCAAAGGGAAACATATATTTCTGGCATACTACTAGAACTTCATTTAATTTCTATTGGTGGAGAGTGGATATACTGATTATAGTACTTAGCTATTTACCCTAGCTTATATCTCTAATATAACACTTACCTCTGACAATGAGCAGGGCACAGGTTGAGGCATTGCCCTCAGAGTTAGTGGCCTGACACCTGTATAACCCTGCATCACTCTTCTTTACATTCTCAATCAAGAGAGAAATAACACCAGCACTAGTGAATCCAACTTTGTAGCGTGGGTTGTTAGTGATTTCTACATCATCTTTGTACCAGGTTATGGTGGGGAGTGGGAAGGCAATGACTTGGCACTCGAAGCGTTTCGTGTCCCCTATTGACACCGCCTCAAATCCACTCATCGACATAGCTACTGTGAATTCAGGAGCTGGAACGATAAAATAATTGGTAATTATTTGAAAATATAAATCCTTAATATGAGCTCCAAAATCTGGATGTGATCTCAAAAGTTTTGGACATTGAGTATCATATGTACAATATATGGTATAGCTGATTCGGCAGTAACTGAGTATGTATTTCCTTCAAAACAGAATGCCCAATTATGTCATATAAACACTCTACACAAACATATCTCGCATTAATGAATAATACCTTATTATATCAGCAATATGTCATTCTGATACTCATAGCATCTGGGATGTCATGGTTTATCATGATGCCTATATGTCTTTATACCATTTGTATCTTGCCTTAACAAATTATGACTCAATATATCACCTACTTCATATACAACCAGAATGTACCTCAAAAATGTACAAAAAACACATGTACCAGTATTTCATTTTATGAAAAAGTGTTCCTTCTCAAAATATTTTGATCCCAAGACCTTTGACACCATTACATCTTCATATATATCCTCTAATCTATATCATATTCAACTCACCCGAACATATGTCTCTCTCTAACGTTTCATCTAAGCCTTATGAATACATTAATATCTAACTCCAATATCTGCATCACCTAGTACATTCCAAGATCATGTTAATGTGCTAAACTTCCATTCCTGACCAGCTCTAACTAATGCCTGTGCCTACATTAGACTGCACAATCTACCTTGACTTAACCATGTATACAACAAAGGTAAAATTGTATAATATTTTCATTGCAGGGTCGAAAACATGTAAATCTAAAACCAATGTGCCCTAATATGTAGTGAAAGTTGGCTGAGCTAACAAATTACAACTTAACCCGTATATAAAGAATCAAATACCGTACTGTTTATACAGAAAAATGGCAAATGAGTTAAAGTAAATATAACGTTTGTAAGCTCATTTGAGATATTTGAGCAGACTTATTTGTTAATCTCGTTCTTGTATTTATCCCACAAATCAACATAACATGAATACAAAGTAAGGGACTTACATGCAACATTTGCATGTAATTGAATAGTGATAATTGAATAATAGCACTCTATCTGAAAATGCTATCTAAGTGTGACAAGATCAAGAATTAGAAAGAATGGGTGGGGGTAACAATGGTTAGGGTTCAATGATCGTGAATCCAGAAGAGTTATTTTAGGAATCGCAAAGTCCCGAAAGCCTGTGTCCCCTTTCCTTAATATATGTCATGCACTTTTTGACATGTCCAATTCTAATCACTAAAGGCTAGTAAATAAATAATTGTTTAAATAGCAGCCTGTTACAACCGTTAACATGGAGAAAATTGGTAAAATGCAAAGGCAAATTTCATTGATCAACTTAGAATGTAAAGGAAACTTTTGTGCTACATTTGAAAGAAACTGTATAAAGAGCACACTATTGAATTTAGGGGAACTGAACCTTTTCTGGGTCTGAATGTAGAAAGAAAAAATACTCTTGGGTTGGTTTGAAATAATTCTGTGTTGGGTATTTCTTGTATACTGAAGTATGACTGGTTATGTCAGAAAGAATTCAAGCTCCAACTACTTCCATGCACATATTAACTTTTTTAATTAGTTTCAGCTTGATGGGTCAAAAGATTCTAGGTTCAGTCATTTACAACAGAAAGGGTTAGCCTTCTCCCAATAAATGATTATGCACCCCTTGATAAGCGATCCCATTCAAATTCATCGACAAAACCAACCTACTTTTTATACACCCAAAATACATTTTTATTAATTTCAAGTTTAGGTTCTATAATCATATTGGAGGTCAAAGAGGTTGTGAAAATATTATTTTGGAATTCTTGAATCACTATATCTAATTACATCTATAGCAAAAAATTCTTTAGGGTTTGCATAAATAAGTCTAGAATTGGCCATGTAATTTCAAATATGAATTGAAAAAATTACCACCTAATTAACTTAAAAGCTTAATCATTAAAATATCCCACAAAAGCACAAAATAAAACATTTAAAAAACCAACACAAAGTATTTTTTTGAATTTTCAAACTTGATCAACTTCATTCCATTGAATGTCATGCTTCCAATTGAAGATCATCCACAGAAATAATGAAATAAATAATTATAAGGTGGAGAATTGTTGAAAGCTCAAGGTTACCAGCTTACTAAACTCTCTCTTTGGTATTTTATAATATGATAAAGAAATCAGTTGTTTGTAAATATCCAAGATCATTGCCTTGCTGGTCTGAATCAAACCTCTCCTATATTAAATTCACTGGTTAATTGTATATTAGGGTAACATATGACTTATATAAGGGTAACATAGGATGTATATTAGGGTAACATAGGATGTATATTAGGGTAACATAGGACGTGACTTATATTAGGGTAACATAGGACTTATATTAGGGTAACATAGAATGTATATTAGGGTAACATAGGACGTATATTAGGGTAACATAGGACTTATATTAGGGTGACATAGGACGTATATTTGGGTAACATAGGACATATATTAGGGTAACATAGGACGTATATTAGGGTAGCATAGGATGTATATTAGGGTGACATAGGACGTGTATTAGGGTAACATAGAACATATATTAGGGTAACATAGGATGTATATTAGGGTAACATAGGACCTATATTAGGGTAACATAGGACATATATTAGGGTAACATAGGATGTATATTAGAGTAACATAGGACATATATTAGGGTAACAAAGGACATTGTGCAATGTGCAATAATAATATTGCATGCTCTCTATGAGCAGCATCACAAGTAAAGCATAATGTGGCATATACTATAAAGGCAACATGGCATATCAAGTAAGGGCAACATGGCACATTGTTTGAGGGCAACATGGCATTTTGTGTGAGGGCGCTTGGCATATTAACTAAGGTCAAAGCATAGCATATTGTATAAGGGCAAAATGGCATATTGTATAAGGGCAACATGCCATCTTGGCAAGGGCAACATAGCATATTGTATACGGGAAACATGGCATATTGTGCAAGGGCAACATTGCATATCAAGTAAGGGTAAGCATCAGTACCTCAAGATATGGAAACTGGTTCCAGAACACAAATTATCCTGCCGACAAATTAAGTAGGAAAGTTAATACTTTTTGATAACGTAAAATATCCATTTTATCCCTTTAACATTAATTGAAATATTTCTCCAATTTAAGTATCATAGCACCTTTCCCACTTACTTGATTTCTCATAAATTCTCCAGATTTTCACACATTCATGTCAATTAAAGAAAGAGATTGGGAATTTTCTTGAAATTATTTTATCTTCTCAATTATCCCATATTTACATATGTAGGTGGGAAAAGGATTCTGAATTCCTATACTGGAAAACATGACTGAAGATTGGAAATCTAAAAATACCTACATTGCTTGATATAAACTAGCCAGATTTCAAGCAGCGTGGTATTTGCATGTTAACCTATGGTATTTTGTTGAAACTTCTATTAGAGCTTAAGAAAGTAAAGAGAATGTCTTCTGCACAAATACTTACTATAAAACATTATCTTTTAGTTTTAGTTTGTGCGGTTGGCTAATAAGCTAACAAAATGTTAAATAACATTTGTGTTGATTCCAGAATCCAAACTGTGTTATTTATCGGAAGATTATTTGTTATTCATGTGGTAAGAGGTATAAAAATAGTTCATAAAAGTTGTAGGTATATGATTGTATATTCCAGATTGAATGAATCTTAACATTAAAAACATTATTCCAAATGGAATAAACTTCAAAAATTACTTTTCAATTATTCTAATTAATTAATATTATTTCGGATGTCATGGAAGTATTATCAAAACATTTTCATCTCATAAACAAATGGTAAATGGTAGAAATTAGTTCTGTTTATAACCAAAGTCAATTATACAGCACCTACCATTTTAATGCAATGGCCCATTCAGTGAAAATGTACTTCAAAGCTGAAACATAGCTCCCAAAAGCAAATGATAACATGAATGTTGAATTTTCTCAAAAGGGCAGTGTCCAAAAACAAAAAGTAAAAAAATTCAAGATCTTAATATTGTCATGCTTTAGAATTATTAGATACTTTTTGACATCCTTCTTATTTTAATTGTTGAAATCAAACAAGTTTTAGTTTTCTTAAGATAAGTCTTAATATTACAATGGATAGCACAAACATTTCCATCTGAAATGTATATTTGCCTTTGTATTATACAATAAAATACATTTGTATATTTTATTTTGTTTACTGGAATAACAAATTAATATTTTATCCCATCATTGACTTATTTGGGAATCACTTTCCATCCCATTTGCTCGTTTTCCCCTTAAGCCTATAGATTTGTCTATACAAGACAGCTAGACCTTTCCTTACTTACAGTGGTATTGCCTAACATGAGCATTAGATAGAAACGTAGGCCCAATTTGTTTTGCCAAGCTTCAATTTTGGATTACCTGAGCAGTAGTTGTTTAGACTCCCCCACTCCCTTGCATTTTCAGATCTATCCTTGTTTGGTTGATTTTGTTGAGTTTTAATTATGATATTTTCACAATCTTCTATGTAATCTACATTAGTCTTTTGATAGTACATTCACTGTATGAAATCAATCAAATATGACATATTCTAATTAGTATAATTGAAAATGTAGAATATTTCTTTTTTGACATACTCAAATTGCATTAAAAATCACCTTAAAATTGCAAATTATTAACATATACCACATTAATATGCTAACTGACACAACTGAATTAGAAAAAAACTTACCATTTCGTTTCGAAAAGTTTGCGTAAGCTCATTTGCAGTAGCATCCGAAAATTCAGTCTGCTGTAGACTGGTGTCTATGTTTAGAAACATCTGATATTAGAGCTAGCTTCATAAGCCTGTTTTCGCACTGATACATGTATGTCTATAACATGAGTATTTTTGGTAAGTTTGGGGCTACCAGACTTGTATAATCAGATAATCCTCTGCCAAGTCACACCTTTGATTCAGGACAGAGAAAGATGATATCAATACAGTATATGTATGTTTCAATTAAAAATTGCAGCGTTATTAGACTGTTATCGTACCAGTCAATGATGAAACAAGAGAGTGGTCCATCATCTTGGCCCAATACCAGATACAGTAAACCCCTAGTTGCTAGCCAAACTACGATCTGAATTCTACAAAAGATTTAACACTTGATGCTGATAAAATCTCAACAATCTCAAATGAAGTATCAACAGCTTTGATGATTGATTGTGATTGTGAAAAGAAAAAATATTATAGTTCATAGGTGTAGCCAGGGGGGGTACGATGACCAATAATCAATAAAAAATTGTTTTTGGCGATCACACCCCCCCCCCCCCCCGACAGAAAGCTGGCTACGCCCCCTGATATTATTTATTATTGTGATTAACTAGATCAAAAAATGATTAATTGCTGATTTTTAAAGAGTATTGATGGAATCAGTCTCCATTGGAGGGTAAAGCATCATGCCATGGAACTTGACAGTTATGATAAGATACTTGAAAGGAAGAACTGATACTGAAACTGATAGCGAATGTGTATAGTTAATTCAATTCAACAAATTCAATGGAAATATGTAATCATACACAATCATATCTAATTGACTATGAAGATTTTATAGAATGCCAATCTTAAAATGGACCAACAAACACTGTCTAATTAAGTAATCATGTAATCTAGACAGATCCAAAAGAGCATCAAAAAGACTTATATTCAATGGACTATCAAATATAGTCCAATTCAACAGACCTTCTGGCATTCTAAAACTCAATGAATTATCAAATATTATCAGATTCAATGTACCATCAAGCATACTTGGATCCAATAGACCATTGAATATGGTAAGATTAAATAGACCATCAAGCACATT